AAGCCATGACCCCTTCTTTGCAAATGGCTACAGCTCAGATCACCATTAACCCATTCTCTTCTGATCACTGATCTGTAAGCACAGTATCAGAGAGCCTCTTGGGTTTCCAATGGACAGCAAACTAATAAGTCTTTTGCAAAGCAAGAAGCTTCCTGGGATGCGTATGTGTGTATGTGTGTGCGCATAGCAGTAAAGTTTTCCCACAGTGCACCATAGTCCTAAGACCCTTCTTGTGTCTTGTCTTCTTCCAGGCCCCTCAACTTCTATTGGCTGTAGAATCTCTACAGCTTGGCCATAGTGGAAGCATTTCCATGATGAATTATGGTTAAAGTTCTAAACAGGACCAACAAGCAGGTCCAGTACCAAAGACAGAGGGACTTATGGCTAGACAGCTGCAAAATTAAAATTGCCATTTTGTAACTGTCAGTACTTGGCATATCTATGTCTTCCTAGCTGCTTATTAACTCATGGTACATTTTTTTCTTGTTATTCCTGTGAGGATGTGCTCACACAGGGCCCTAAAGACTGAGTTCACAGTGGCAGTGCATAAAAACCAGAAGCAAAATTCTCCACAAAACCTATGCTAAGTAAAGAATAGGATGTAAATTCAGCAGACCCAAAGGCGCTTTCAAGTGCTTCCTAGAAAATTAAATTGGCATATGGTTTAGAGCTGCAGTTGTGGTGAGTGACGAAGATAGTCTTGCTTCCAGAAAGCTTACAGTCCACAAGAGTCTCAGCAGTAACAAAGACGATTCATAATAACCGTCCTCCCCTGTGATGTTTGCCAGGATAATTTTAGTGACAGGGTTTTATGTACATTTAAAACACAACAGTAGCACCACTGTAGTTGTGTGATTGTAGTACTTTAATGTAGACACTACCTGTACCAACATTAGAGGTAATGCATCTCCCAGAGAGACAGTAGCTGGGTTTATGGAAGATTTCCTCCACTGACCTATAGCTGTCTACAAAGGGATTCAGTTTAGCTTAGGTACCCCTGTCAGCAGTGTAGTTATGCCTTAATTTTCTAGGAAGCACTTGGAAGCATCTTCGTATCTGCTGAATTTAATCTTTTTCTATGAAAACAAATATGTTTATGTTTTTAGCCCTTGCAGAGAAAATCTTTGAAATGTGAATTGCTGCTGTGCTGACTTTGGGCTGGTCTGTGGTCACAAGTTACATTGGCACAAAACCATGAAATTGGCTCAGACCAAGAATCCTAGGCATGTAGGCATCTAGCTTAGGCATGTCAAATCCTGTGTAATTAATTAACTGAGTAAACATTATGTTTAACCAGTTAGCCAATTAAAAGCAGGCCCCCTGCTTCCCCACCATAGGCCGGAAAGGGGGGGGGGGAGCGAGCTGCTCCAGGCCCCACTGGTTAATGGTAACCAGTAAGTATAGTTGCTTATGGATTAACACTTCACATAATCTAGCCCAGTATCCTGCCTTCCAAGAATGCTTCAGAGGGAATGAACAGAATAGGTGATCATCAAGTGATAAGTGAAAAATCCACATTGTGAAAAATTGTTCTCCTGGGCCTCTGATGATAGGACAAGAAGCAATGGGCTTAAAATGCAGCCAAGGAGGTTTAGGTTGGACTTTGGGAAAAATGTCTTGTCATGGTGGTGAAACACTGGAATAAATTGCCTTACAGTTCTAGTGTTCTATGATTGTATGATAGCTATGCCAACCTAGCCCTTGGAATAGACAGTGTTAGGTGGAAGGAAGAATTTTGCAGCTGGTACTGAACTTCTCCCATGGATTTAGGTAGTGTCTGCCCTAGAGTTCTACAGTCATGGCACTAGATGGCAGAGATAAGCTAAACAACAGCAGTAAGAGATTGATGAACTGCTCTATTCACGCAAATAGGATATTAGGAAATTAATTACGATAACGTAAATGTCAACATTGGAATTGTTCTTGCGGATTATTTTAGCAGAAACATCCAGCTAATGTGCTTTTCCAGTGTGGTTGCCTAGCCCAGAAGTAAAAGATGGACTAGACCTACTGTATTCAGACTGCCACTGTGGTGTGCATTTGCAGTTCACAGTGTGCTTCCTGCTTCCATAGCTCCTTGGAGAATAGCCCACAAGAATTTAGAACATAACATAAGAAAATAAGAATGGCCGTACTGTGACAGACCAAAGGTCCATCTAGCCCAGTAGCCTGTCTGCCGACAGTGGCCAATGCCAGATGCCCCAGAGGGGGTGGACTGAAGACAATGAACAAGCGATTTGTCTCGTGCCATCCATCTCCAGGCTCTGACAAACAGAGGCCAGGGACACCATTTCTATCACCTGGCTAATAGCCTTTTATGGACCTAACCTCCATGAAATTATCTAGCTTCTCTTTAAACTCTGTTATAGTCCTAGCCTTCACAGCCTCCTCTGGCAAGGAGTTCTATAGGTTGAATACTCACTGTATTCAACTTTTATTAGTTTTAAACCTGCTACCCATTAATTTCATTTGATGTTCTCTAGTTCTTCTATTATGGGAACTAATAAATTACTTTTCTTTATTCACCCTCTGCACACCACTCATGATTTTATATCCCGCTATCATATCCCCCCTTAGTCTTCTCTTTTCTAAACTGAAGTCCCAGTTGCTTTAGCTTCTCTTCATAAAATTTAGGGGGGCGGTAGAGAGTAAAAAACGTATGTAGCATATTCAATAGGCTAAACCAGTGTTTCCCAATTTTATTTGGCCATGGAACTCTTTTAAACTCGAAAGAATTTTGCGGAACCCCAATAACAGTCTAATATATGGAGCTGAAAAAGTAGACCACAAATAGATCAGAATAATAATAAACAAATGCTAAACAAGGTCATGAGATCAACATTTAGTTTAATTGTACATATTTAAAAACAAAAATCACATACTATTAATTATTATTTTTTTAAATCATAAAATATTGTTGTAATGGAATTTTCTTGCAGAACCCTTATTTTCTCTTTGTGGAACAAACACCATTTGGTAAACACTGGGCTAAGCACATCTGTGGATCCAAAGCCAACATAACAAAGTCAGGACGAGGTCACTGGAGAAGGAACTGATCTGTGAACAAGTTTTAAAAACTAGCACCGCTTACTGTACTTGGTTCTGAAATGACTGGGAAGCCGGTGGGGGTATTTGGGCATGGTTCTGGTGGAAGGGCTGTAATGTTTGTAAAGATCGAGTTTAGTTCTTCAGCAGCTCAGGGAGGTTGTTTGGAGCGAGCACCCAATAAAATGATTCTCCTCTCCGCAGCTCCAGTGTGATCAAGGAAGACGGGGAAGGAATTCCTTGAGAAGCCCTGGGGCTGATGCCTACCAAGGGTGCAGAGATCGGCACATGCTGTGCAGAAAACGGGAAAGAATAGAGAAGATGACTGTCTAAAATCTGGGGAGGCTGAGGTTAAAACCACAGAGTTTCTTAACCCACCATGCCCTAGAGAGGAGCTGCAAGGCTCAGAGGGAGGGCTCAATGAAAACGGGAATTTCCTGTTCTCAGCCACATTTCCCTCCCAGCGCCATGGGTCCCCAAGCGGCGGACGCTTCCTTTCCTGTGAAAACAGCCCCCTCCACTGACGCGCTCAGGGCATGGGCCGCGGCAGCAGCGCCCGGGGCAGAGCCACAGCAGAGCAATAGCGCCCGGGGCGGGGGCAGAGGACAGCGCAGAAACCAGGAGCTGCTCAGCACAAGGGGGTTGACGCCTGAACTGTGGCTGGAAAGGGATCGCGCCGTGATCGCGATGAACGCTCCCAGTGTCCATGCGTGCCAGGTTGGTATAATTTTGGGTGGTGCCTGGAAGCGGCCCAAGCCCCCCTCAGACACACACCTGCCTAGTAAGCCGATATATATATAAATACACACACACACACACACACACACAAGAATGTAAAAAGGCACTGCACAGTAGGGTCAGATTAAAGATGCCTTCTCTCAAACCACACACACAAACAACTCAGACATACACACACACAACTCAGGCTGTGTCCAGACTCAGGGGTTTTTTCGAAAAAAGTAGCCTTTTTTCGAAAAAACCTCACCTGCGTCTAAACTGCAGCCGCGTTCTTTCGAAATTAAATCGAAAGAACGCGGCTTTTCTTTCAATGGCGGTAAACCTCAATTTACGAGGAAGAACGCCTTCTTTCGAAAGTTCCTCTTTCGAAAGAAGGCGTTCTTGAATGTAAATAGGGCTTCTTCGAAAGAGAGCATCCAGACTCACTGGGTGCTTTCTTTCGAAAAAGCAAGCCACTTTTTCGAAAGTTCAACGTGCAGTCTAGACGCTCTCTTTCGAAAGAGACTCTTTCGAAAGTATCTTCCGAAAGAGCCTCTTTCGAAAGAGGCTTGCAGTCTAGACATAGCTTATGTGTAGATGACACGATTAATCGATAAGCCTGGGCTCATCGGGTAATCTTGTCAACTACAGGCACTCCTGGCCTCTTGCTGCTTCTGTGTCAGAGGCAGCAAGGGGTGGGGGGAGCAGGAGCTGGTACCTGTGAGGAGCTGGCTTAAAAGCTGGCTCCCCAAAAGCACTGGATCCGCCTGCTTGATAGAGAGGCAGCAGCGGGGAGGGTGAGAGGGGCAAGCAGGAGCTGATACACAAGGGGAACCAGCTTTCAAGCAGGCTTCCCACATGTGCCAGCTCCGTGGACCCACCTGCCCCCCCTTAAAGAGGCAGCAGGTGAGGGTAACAGGAGTTGATGTTGGGGGCACCAACGGGTGTGGTGGCAGGGGAAGCTGCCATAAAGCAGCCTTTGTTCACAGGAAGCTCAGACCTCACACTGACGGGCTGTTGTCACCCCATGTTGCTGCCTTTGTATCAGAGGCAGCAGCACAGGGTAGCAGGTGGGAACCGGTCTGCACAGGAAGCTGGTTTTTAAATTGGCCCCCCTCCCAGACTGGCTCCCACCTGCCACCCAGCGCTGCTGCCTCTGATACAGAGGCAGCAGCATGGAGTGAGAGGGGGGCTCCCAAGGAGTGGGGCCAGAGCACACTGGCTGCTGGACTTGCCCCTGGGGATTATCAAATAGTCATGTAACTGCTAAAATATCTTGTGATTACATGTCTATTCAGTTGCACACTAGCTAATATCCCTACTGGAAACTGTTAAGTGTTTAACAGTTTCCTTCTATTGCACAATACGGAGTGGGAAGGATGAGGGATCTGGCTGAGGATGTGGACTCTAGGGTGGGGCTGCGGCTCAGGAGGATTTGGGGTGTGGGAGGGATTCAGGGTTCAGGCAGAGCATTGGGATGTGCGGATAAGGGCTGTGGGGTGGTGCCAGATATGAGGGATTCAGAGTATTGGAGGAGGCCTAAGGCTGGGGCAGAAGCTTGGGGTGCAGGAGGTGAGGGCTCTGGCTGGGGGTTCGGGCTCTGGAATGGGTCCAGGGATGAGGAATTTGGAGTGCAGGCAGGCTGCCACATGGCTGGACTCCCCCCAGCCCTCTTGCTGCCAGGAGCTGCAAGTTCTGGGAGAGGAGCCACCCCATCTCTCCTGCCCAGCCCATTGATAGGGGCAAGTAGATAGAAGGGGCAATTATCCAGGGGTGTGAGTGATTTAAAAGGCCCCAGAGGCCCTGGCCACTGCCATGGTAGTTCTGCCAGTTCTGGGGAAAAGCATCTCTTGATTCAAAGATACTTTTGATATGTTCCATGCAGGTGTTCCATGGGGTAGCTGGGCAGCAGAGTAGCAAATACTGCTGCCTAAGCTGCTCCAGAACCTTCCTGGGCTATATCAAAACTCTTCCTGGGCTATATCTTTGACTCAAGAAATGCTGTGATGTTTCCCCAGAGCTGGTTGGGTGGGCACAGTGTATCTTCTGTCTCCTCCAGGCAGGAGGGATGTGTGTGCGCTCAGGGCTTGTCTGGGCTGGGGAGAGGAGAGCTTGTGGCCTTGGCCAAGGAAGGAGGATGGGGGAGGGACATGGGGACAGTGGGAGGGATTGGGGAAGAGGCCTGGTCCCAAACATTGGTGGAGCCAGGCCCCAGTGCTCTGAATATTAGTGGGGCACAGACACCCCAGGCCCGTATAACTCATAGTTTATGTCAGTCTCTGGGAGTCACTAGCCTGTTCAGGAAGAGCCAAGCAGCCATCCCTTAGGGTCCTCCAAAGTTTAGTTTAACAGTCACTCAAGAGCCAACAGGGTGGTTCATTGGGATTTACCTCAGGGAATATTGTTTTTGCTACTTTGTCCCAAGAGCTAAGCCAATATTGGGGGGTTTCAGGATTGTTTCTGTTAGGAGGATAAATTGTATGAATCAGGTGCACTCCTGTTTAGGTACAAAGAAAGTATACAAAAAAATCCTGTTTCCCTGCACACAGTAGGAACACACAGTAGCAGCAAATCCTCGCTCAGGTTTCAAGCCTACCTTTTCAACAAGTTCTGTGCCCAAAGGAGCTGTCTCTCTCCTTCTCAGAGTCACTCACACAATGGCTTCTTGCTTCCTGTTGTCTTTGACACAAACACACAGCTTGTCAAAACCAATCCTCTAGATCCTGCATTGCAATAAGTCCAAGAGAAATATCTCAGACTACACAGTTTAACCCTGTTCAATCTGTGTCATGCAATTGATTGCCTTGGGGAATAGCGTCTATTGCCTATAGTCATCTCACTCCATAAGGAGATTTAATTGCTCTTTACATATAGCCCTCTTCAGGGGCTAAATGATTCCCCACCTATGGATTTTAATCACATCTCTAAGGGTATGTCTAGACTACATGCTTCTGCCGACAGAGGCATGTAAATTAGACATACCGACATAGTCAATGAAACGGGGATTTAAATATCCCCCGCTTCATTAGAATAAAAATGGCTGCTGCGTTGTGCCAGCACAGCTGTTTATCGGCACAACCGGCAGTCAACACGGGGATCGGTCGACAAGGAAAGCCTTTGCTGACCGATCCCTTATGCCTTCACGAAGTATAAGGGATCGGTCGGCAAAGGCTTTCCTTGTCAACCGATCCCTGTCGGTTTGTGCCAACAACCAGCTGAGCCGGCACAATGCAGCGGCCATTTTTATTCTAATGAAGCGGGGGATATTTAAATCCCCGCTTCATTGACTACGTCAGTATGTCTAATTTACATGCCTCTGTTGGCAGGGGCATGTAGTTTAGACACACCCTAATAACTGATCAGTTGATCAAAGATGGCTAGATGGTAGCCACTGACACCTTCCAGTATAACATTATTATTTTAAATCTAGCACTCCCAATGGATCCTGCTTCTGCCTTTGCCTTCTGGCCCTCTCCTCCAGCAAATAAAAGGGCTGTGTTTAAAATGTTCACATTGTATTTGTAACACATATTCAAGCATTTAATAATTCAATAGCCACCTGTTTTATGTCCCTGGAGCAGGGTTGCAGGCTCCACAAACTGCTGCAAGCTCTTTCCTCCAGTCTTCATGCCTCTATAGACAGGGAGATCCCAAGAGAGATTCCAGGTGAAGAATAAGTTCCAGGAGCCATCAGTGGGTGGAATAAAAACACTGGGATTCCAACATAACTGTTGTGAACTCACCTTTTTCTGTCTTGTCTCATCTATTTCTGTTAGACCCAGCCAGGAATCTTCCATCAACATGTTTTTGTTTGTTTGTTTGTTTTCAACAAAAAATTCAGTTTGCAACCAAAAAAAAATCAACATTTTTTTTAAAGGAAATTTAGACTTTGCCAGTATTCTTCATTTTTTATCAGAAAAATCAAAATAAGATATTTTGTTTTGTGTTGGGTCAACCCAAATATAAACAATTGAGTTTGTTGAAGTGAATCAAACTGTTTATTGTGGGATACTTTAACTGTTTTCTATGTTCTTGGAAGTTGTATTTCAGGTGTCTCATGCCCCCATTCTCTTCTGTGGGCCAGGCTCTTGGCTGGACTATCTCTCCCATGATGCACCACTGCCTCCCTTTTGGTAGAACCTCAGGAGGACATCATGGCTATGTGCCGTGTTTCATGACTGTAATGCATCATGAAAGGTGTAGGTCAGCCAGGAATCCTGTCTTGATGTCTGTTTAGAATCTGCTGTTGGTCATCTTCCTTTCCAAGTGCTAATTAATGGTTCTTATCAGCCTCTTTATAACTATTTAGTCTTTAAGATGCTATTAAACTGTTTGTTGTTTTTAAAGTTTTTCCTGTTACAGACTAACTTGGCTACCCCTCTGAAACCATAGAGGAAAGGCATGCTACATGGGGGGCGAACTGCAACCAGGCCTGCTGACTGGGGTGGGATGGGGGACAGTTGCCATGGGGTCCGGTGATTCAAAGGGGCACGGGGCTCCCACCTGCCACTGCTGCTATTGTAGCAGCAGCAAAGGCTGGAATCCTGGCCCTTTAAATCACTGGCAGAGCACTGCACCGTGTGCTTTGTGCTGCTCAAAATGCTGGCGGGAGACACAGTGGTTCACTTTGGGGCTGCCCCAGCCGCAGCCCCACCCCTTCTGCTTGAGGCCCTCCACCTTTAGGGAGCACAGAGCTGGGCTCCCCCTTCTCCCCCGCCTTGGCCAGGGATGCAAGGAGGCTGTCAGCACCCCTTACTGCTGTTCCTCTGAAGTACCACAGCAGCTTAGGCAGTCACAGTTCAATGTGAAAATGTGTTTGAAAAAAGGCCTTTCCATGGGGTTCAACAAACCAAAACAGAACATTTTGATTCAGAAATTTCAACATATTTCAGTGAAAAATGTCCAAAAGAAGTGTGTAGGCATTTAACTGAAACTTTTCTGAACTTTTTGTACAGCAAAACATTTTAATATTTCAGCTTTTTGTCCCAATTGAGGACAAATATCTAACAGATATCAAAATTGCATATTTAGTGCAATTTTTGTTTGTAGACCATCTCTAATTTTAGTACTGTAGCAGCTGTTAGAATAAGCTGCAAGCAGATGCCAATCATGGTTTAACATCAGTCCTCACAGACTGCTAAGCGTTCCCTTCCCTGCAAAGTGTATTGTAGCAAAAACTTTCCTGTAAGCCAGAGTTTTAAAGGCGGTGATGACCATGATCATAACTTTATTCTAGGGCAGAGAGTTCCATAGCATTGGGTCAGCTTCTGGGGATGTTCTGAGGAAAGGTGGGGCCGAGTGGGGTATGTCTGTACCAAACTGTGAACTCTATTTTGTATTGCCACTGCCATCTTGGATTGTAACCTTCATTGTGACCTTTATTTAATAGCAGAACCTTGTATTTGGATTAGAACATCCATTTTGTATTAGTGTTTGAATGACTTTGGCTTTGTCTATACTTAAAATGTATGCCAGCATAGCTGTGTCGCTCAGTGGTGTGAAAAACCCCACATACCTTAGCTGACATAACTGTGCTAACAACATTACAGTATAGACCCTGCTGTACTATCAGAAGAGGCCTTCTGTCAGCAAGGCTAACATTGTTCAGAGATAGTGTTCCTGCACTGGCAGTGGCAGAAAATCTCCTTCAGTCAGCATGTGGTGCATCTACACCAGGAGCCAGCATAGGCTCTGTAGTCTACACTTAGTGGCGTCTATGGCTGTGAAGCCATCATGGAGCACTTGTGGGCCATCAACTTTGGTTGTTATCTCAACTACGGGCCCACTGCCATGGGACAGCAGATTCTCCAGAGAAGCCTTATTGGGGGCAAGAGGCTGGAAATCCCATTTAGAGCAGATGAGCAAAAAGAAACAGTGTATTTAAAAAGGAAGGGGCTTTTCTGAGCAAAGGGATCAACCACCACTGTAAGTCAGAAACTTGGGCTAGAGAGCGAGGACAAGTCTACTTAGGTTTGAAATGCTGACCAGGCCCTGGACTTGTGTGGTAAGAGCAATGTAAGAGGATGAGGTGGAAACATTGCAGAACTGTTTGTTATTTTGCAAGGATTTATAACTCTAGTGCTTTCTGAGGAGTAACAATGGCTGTGATTCAGAAATGCCTTGGTGAAGCTTGTATTTCTCATTTGCTTGCCACACTTTCCCTGAAGAGGTTAGCCGAGCATCTTAGAGTGTCCCCTAGATGGTGCTGTAGAGGGGACATCACTCACGTCTGTTAAAAGTTTTGTGCCCTGTGCAACATAGTTAGGTCAAGCTAACCCTGCTGTAGACACAGGTAGGTTGACAGAAGCATTATTTGTCACCCTAGCTACTGCCCTTCAAAGAAGTGGATTACCTACTTTGAGGAAAGAGGCCCTTCACTCAATGTAGGAAGCATCTACACTATAGCAGTACAGTAGTGAAGCTGCAGTGCCATAGATGTGCCACTCCAATGCAGACACACCTGTAGCAAATAAGTGCTTGGGTGGGCGAAGGCCCTGGTTATGGGTTTAACCCACAGAGCCCCACGTCCCTTGGAAGGATGGCAAGACACGGCAACCGGGAACAGCAACTAATCACTACCCAGATCTAAGTAGCATGTGGGATCCAGAGGTGGGTTCATTCACAACAGATTGGTGTCTGTCCAGACAGAGGGATTGGTTCAGGTTGTGATAAAAAGCTCAGGTGTTTTTTTTTCTCCTGTTTTATGATCTTATCAAAGGGTCTGATTCAGCACCCGTGGACATGATTGGAATGACTGCTTTTGACTTTGACAAGCTTAGGATCAAGGGCTATGATTACACTACAAATTTTTTGCACAAAAATAGCTGGTTTTGTGCAAAAACCGGCGGAGCATCCACACCTCAAGCATGTTTTTGCGCAAGTAAATCGTCAGAACAGAGGGCTTTTGCTGGTAGAGTTATTTCTCTCCCCACGAGGAATAACTCCTTTTAGCACTACAGCTCTTGCGCAAAAAGGCAGGTGTGGATGCTCCGAAGGGTTTTTTGCACAAGAAACCCCTATCCGAAAAAGCACAGGTGCTCTGATTGCCATTAACAGAATGGCCATCAGAGCTTTCTTGCTCAAGAATATCCATGCAGTGTGGACACTCTCTTGCGCAAAAGCACATCACTTTTGCGATGAACTTTGAGGTCTAGATGTGCTTTTGTGGAAGAAGTTTTTGCGCAAGAACGCTTCCACAAAAGGCTTCTTGCGCAAAAACCCTGGGGTATGTCTAGACTGCATCCCTCTATCGGCAGAGGGATGCAGATTAGGCAGGTCGACATTGCAAACGAGGCAGGGATTTAAATATCCCGTGCCTAATTTGCATAAAAATGGCTGCTGCATTTTGCCAGCTCAGCACTTTGTCGGCAAAAAGCGGCAGTCTAGAGGGGGATCTGTCGAGAAAGAAAGCCTTGCAGGAGGCATAAGGGATCTGTCGAAAAAGGCTTTCTTTCTCGACAGATCCCCCTCTAGACTGCCGCTTTTTGCCGACAAAGTGCTGAGCCAGCAAAACCCAGCGGCCATTTTTATGCAAATTAGACACGGGATATTTAAAACCCTGCCTCATTTGCAATGTCGACCTGCCTAATCTGCATCCCTCTGCCAACAGAGGGATACAGTCTAGACATACCCCTGCAGCGTATACTAAGCCAGACTGTAAAGTTTTCAGATTTGTGACAACTTGTGATTTCCTTGGCTGAGGCAGCCTTTCCCCTAGGCACAGAGATGAATAATGTGTTGATTCTCTTCATGCCAGCAGGTGAAAATGAGTGAAAATGAGGAGGAGAATCCACAGCAGAAGAGTCTTCAGACAGAGGAGTCAAAGTTAGCATTGTCAGAAACATCCAGCAGGAAAGGTTCCCAGACCTCTGACTGGACAGATGACGGTGAGGATGAGTGGGAGATAGAAAATCAGGAGAGAAACCCCCATCCAGGAAAGAAATGGATTGAATCTTCTCCCCAAGGGAGGTGTTTCAGGAAACTCAAAAACATCATTGCCCAGCGGAGGCCTATTACTGGAGAAAAACTTCATAAATGTCCCGACTGTGGGAAGAGCTTTAGCCGGAGGTCAAATCTGATTCAGCACCAAAGGACTCACACAGGCCAGAGACCTTACGAATGCCCCGAGTGTGGGAAAACCTTCAGTCTGCGCTCAACACTTACCAGACATCAGCGAACCCACCTGCAGGAGAAGCCCTATAAATGCATTGAGTGTGGGAAGAGCTTTCGCCAGAGTTCTGACCTGATCGCTCACCAGCGGGTGCACACAGGAGAGACGCCGTTCCAGTGTGCTGTGTGTGGGAAGCGCTTTGGGCGGAGCTCCAATCTGAGCCAGCACCAGACCACGCACCTGGGAGAGAGACCCTATCAATGTGCTGACTGCCTGAAGAGCTTCCGGAGCAGTTCGGCCCTGGTGCAGCATCAGAGGAGCCACATGGGGGAGAAACCCTACCAGTGCTCTGAATGCAGGAGCCGCTTTCTGCAGAGCTCGGACCTGATCAAACACCAGAGGATCCACACTGGGGAGAGGCCCTACCAGTGCCCCACTTGTGGGAAATGCTTCAGCCAGAGCTCCTCACTCAGTGAGCACCAGAGGACCCACACTGGAGAGAGGCCCTACCGTTGCACCGAGTGCGGGAAACGTTTCTGCCAGAGCTCCACGCTTATCCAGCACCAGAGGATCCACACGGGGGAGAAGCCCTACAAATGCACTGAGTGCGGGAAGAGCTTCTGCCGGAGCTCCAACCTGAATCAGCACCTGACAATCCACATGGTAAAGGAACCTCATCGGTGCGCTAACTTTGGAAGGGGTTTCAGTCCGCTCACTAACCTTACTGTACACCAGAGAATCCACTCTGGACAGACTCCCTAAGACAGTGTTTCTTAAATTTTTTTAAGACCGAGTAACACCAAACAATTTTTTTATAAGTAACACCAAGGGTTTTTTGTTGAGAAGAAAAGAAAAAAAGGGGGGGGGAGGGGGGCGAGGAAAAGTTATTGACCTCCCCTCCCCCACCCCCCCCCCCCCCCCCCCAAAAAAAAGGATCATGGGGGAAAGTTATTGAGCAAAAAAAAAAAAAAAGTTGCCTGCCCCTTTAAGGGTCACCATTTTGAACGCTTGTTCTCTGTGGCACACCTCCGACTGTCTTGCGGCACACCAGTGTGTCATGGAACACAGTTTAAGAAACACTGCCGTAAGAGCTATGGGGGCAGCTTCATGTCTCCTCCCCTTCCCCCGGACACTGGCCTATTCCATGAGGTTCAGTTCAGGGAGGGATTAGGGATCTCTTCCTCCACCTTGAAGAGATTTACTGCTGGACAGTCTTGCAGAGAAGGATCTGTTCTGTTCTGTACCTTTTGTTCTGCTCACTGCAGAGTGAGACCAGTCAGAATCATGCCAGTTTTATTCTGCTGCTGGGGAAGCCATTTGTTGCCCAGATGGGATCTGCAGAAGAAGGATAGGTGGAAGAAAATGACAGAGAGGGTCCAAGATACACAGAATCAAGTGGGAATGTAATGCTGCTCAGGGCTGTTTCCAGTAACTATCTTTATCCTTGACTCAGCGCCCACATCTCCCTCTGTATATTAAAAAAAACTTTTCTTGTGGGATGACAGAGTGACATCATCATGCCACTTTGCATCCCACAGTCTCTGCCCTTGCACACGCTCCCTGCCCCAGACACTGTTCGGGGACCAGCAAAACTGCCTGACAGTCCAGCCTGGGCAGATTCCACCTCCCAAGGGTCCTGCCTGCTCAGCCCTGGTCACAGCCTTTCGGGTGGTCCATCCCCTGGTCCAGGGGCTGCTTTGGCTCATGCGAGGCCGAGTGCAGCCCACTTGTGATGGGAAGGGAGGCAGGCTCCCATACCCCAGGGCTCCACAACTTGCTCCAGAGTCGCTTGTGCTGCTGTTGTTTTTGGCACTCATGGGCTGCTGGGCCAGTTGGCTCAGGAGCAGTGCCAGGCACAGGGTGAGGTCCCCAGCATCCCCTGCTGTCCTATCTTCCACCATGCCCCGAGCCCAGCACTGAGCCACCCAGCTGAGACTCAAGTCCACCCTTCTCCCAAGCCCAGACTGGCTCCCTCCCTCCTGCCTTGCCATGCATGGGGCTGCAGCAGTGAGCACTGCTTCTGTAAGGTGGGCGAGGTGGCACCTGGCAGCACTGACCTGAGTGGCCCTGGCACTGCAGCCTCATCCTCCCTCTTGGCCAGAGTTGCACTGAGTTTCATGAGGATAATGGGCCCATCTAAAGTTTCCAAGTTTCTAATATTAGAAAACCGAACACGTGTATCCTACCTCCACTCTTTTCCTGAGGCCCTGCTGCCACTCACCACATCCCCTCCCTCCTGCTGTCACTTGCTCATTTTTACCAGGCTGGGGCAAGGGGTTGGGCTGGAATGAGGGGTCTAAGGTGCAGAAAGGGGCTCAGGAATGGGGCCAGGCTGCAAATCAGAGCAGCATGGCTGTTGGGTCCCCTGTAGGATTTATAGGAGAACAGCTGAAATATTTTAATGTAGTCTACTGGAATTCTGACAGAGTGAAATTGTGGACCGCTCCATTAGCTCCAGTGGGGGGCAGAGGTCACACCTTGTGGGAGGAGGAAGCTGAGCTTCTGTCACTTCAGTCTTAGCAGGATGAAGACCCAAAGGACCATGCACAATACCCCATCTTTGATAGGAATCCCTTCTCATGCAAATCTATGGATTTTGCTTCATTGTGTTGTAATCTATCACTTTGCAACATATGTTTATCTGGAGATTGTTTTCATTGTTGTTTACTATCAGTCTGCAGATAACTTTTCTGGATATTGCCACTCCCTGGTTTTGTTGGGATTTGTTATCTTCACATGTTGGGAATGCTTGCTTCTAGCTTGAGCATTGCCAGTCTGCCTCTTATCCATCACAGAATACTGTGGGCCCATTTGATAGTTCCTTTGTGCCCGCAAATCTCCGGCCCCTCCTCTGACCATTGCATGCAGAGCTGGCCTTCAGACTAAACTCTTTTGAAACAGACATTCATATTCTTTGCTGACAAAAACAAAAATAACATAGTTGCTTCACACAAGCAAGGATCACATTGTTACTTTTATAAAAACAGATCAGTACAAAATATTCTAAGATTAAAATAACTATTACAAATTCTTCCATAACTAGCCAATTAGCCCGTCATAAGACGGGATTTTCAGGTCTCTCCTCCTCATCAGTCTTCTCTCCTGAGGTCTCTCGCTCCGTCTCTCTCTCTCTCTCTCTCTTTCTTCCCTCCTCCTACTGCCTCCCCCCTCTCTCTCTCAGCTCTTCTCCGCCTCCTTCCTCTCTCTCTATCTCTCTCTTTCATTTCTCCTCCCCCTCCTGCCTCTCACTCGGGGGACCATGGAGCCCAAATGGCAGTTAGGGCTCTGCACTCCCTGTGCTGCATGGGGGGCACGGAGCCCAAATGGTCGCTTGCGCTGCTTGCTCCCACGCGGCGGCCTGGCTGAGCAGCACAGAAGTCAGCCGAGCACCACGGCGGAAGGTGAAGGGGGGCGGGGTGGTGACGTTCCTTTCTACTAGTCAAAAGGATGGCTGGCAAGGTACACGGAGGCACATTACATTGCATATGGCTACATTACCAAATAAGTTTACTGGCTGAACTCCTTCAGTCAAAATCTCTCCCCTAGTTCAACTTTCAATTTTGTCTTCCAAATGCTGCTGATGCCATAAGTAAAGATGAGGGCCAGAAGAGAGATGGTTTGTGTCCTCTGTTTCCCCTTCATAAAACATTTCTATTCTTTGAGAATCATCTACAGCTGGGGTTCACGTCACAGCAAATCGGTTTCTTTTCATGAGAACCCCCAGTTGTTCCACTACCAAAATGTAATTTTCTTGCTCTCATCCTTCTTCCTGCCAAAGAATGGCTGGTCAACACAGTAATTGTCCACTTGATTATGTTGACAACTGGCTGCAGCGCTGGCTAACCTTTAGTCCCCAGGGAACTTGTTTGGGCTGCTTTTCTAAACTTGGAGCATGTTGTTACACACATTTTTACTGGCACAATAATGTTCAGTAGGTTATGAACTTTCACATGATACCAGTACAAAATGTATCATAGTCCTGTAAAAGTGGTGAACATACAGGTATAGCCTGTCTCAGTGATGTTCCTTTTCTCAAGTCTGTCTCTTCTCCCCATGAGTTCATCAACCTGAAAATTCCTAGCTCTGTATTCAGAATCTTTGTGATAACAGGACTTTCCCCAGTCTCAGTTCTATACATCTATTTCTTGGAGCCACTGTTGCCACCAGTTGCTCCAGCATGTGACAGGTGTTGCATTTCCTCCTCCTTTTATGAGGATCAGCCAGGTACATGTGCAGGCTTTTTTCCCAGATGAAGCAGTAAATGCTAATTAGCCATTCATCTACAGGCCTCTTCTTGCTCCAGAAGAATGGTGCTCCTTATCTTTTCATATCAAGCTATCTTAAATTTGGCTAGCTCAGATACTGAAATCACGGTAGGATGGGTTTTAGTGTGGCCTTTTCAAACTTGCCTGTAACCCTGCTAAAAACTCAGGTGACTAGCCTGCACTGAAACCATGCTGCTCCAGGACCCACACTAACTGTTTACCAGGCATGTTTACCTCAGCTGTTTGTGATTACATTGTAAGTATATCGTTTGTTCTCAGACCTTAGCACACTGAGGTCCTAGCACTTTGCAGGGTTGGGGAGGGGTTGAGGTTCAGGTCCTAGGAATTAACAATCTTTTGCGTTTTGAAAATGACAATAGAGACACCCTAGTGTGTACTGAGAGCTGTCCTGTGCTGTGTGAACCAAAGCCCCTGGATTAAGAGCTCATTCTAGCATCCTGAGGTTCTCTTCCTTTGTGGGAGGTCAAGGCATGTTTCTTAGGAAATGGACATCTCAGGGTACATCTACATTGCATGCTTATTTCAGAATAAGCTGTTCTGGAATTGACCCCAGCAAGGAGCGCTTGCCTGGCTAGACTGGGCCTGCATGCAGGCAGTGTGTGTCTTCGGGGGTCTCAAGGTGAGGTTCAGATGCCTCCTGACCCGCCTGCATGTAGGGGAGCAGAACATCCCCCAGGTGGTGTTCATGTGTTGCATGCTCCACAACCTCTGTGAGAGGAAGGGGGAGGTGTTCCTCCCTGGATTGGGGGGAGGCTGACCAGGAGGACAGAGTCCTTGAGAAGCCACACACAGCTGCTGTCCGGCAGGCCCAGCAGGCAGGAGTGTATATTCAGGAAGCCCCGAGGGAGATTTTCTCACAAGGACCCCAGTGACGCTCTCCCCAGACCCTCCTCTCTAGGGGCCTGTGCCTTGCCCCTCTCTGCCTTTCCTACAACAACCCCTTCCTTCCCCGCTCCATCCCCCTACCCTGCAGAGACAATAAAAAAAAAGTTTGGTTTTGAAAAAAAGAACTCTGGTTATTTATTTGGGGTAGAAGTAAATGGGGAGAGACTGAGAGAACCTGGAAATGGGGAAGGAGCTGCTGCTCAGCAGTCCCATCCTGCTTTTGTCTCATCAGGAGGGATCTGTGCACCAGACAGGGGTGACGGGATGCGGAGGCCTCTCCCCTGGGCGGGCCACGCCAGCCCCGCCCCTGCACGCTTGCGGCGCATGCTCACGCCACGTGCCAGGTATTTTAAATGCCAGTGGCGCAGCAGACAAGGGGGAAGAAGTTCACCCAGCCCTGGGTGCTGTGCTGAGCTGAGCGAAGCACCCACCCTCCTGCAGCAGCCGGGACCTGGCAGGTAACCCCACGGGGCGGACATCCAGACTCCGCAGCCCCAGGAGGAACAGGCAGCAGACGCTGGAGTGGCCTGTGCCCCCTCGACAGACAGAAAGGCGGCAGGGTCTGATTACAGACTCCAGCCCCACTGCCCCGCAAACTGGAAGGCAGAAGGTAGGGGAGGGGGGAAAATAGCGAAAAGGGGTGGGAGAGGAAAGGGCTTGTGCTGAGGGGAGGGGGACCGGTCAGGTGAAGAAAGGGGAAGGCACCAAGGGACAGCGTGGAGAAGAGACAAAATGTCAGGGGGCCAAGTGCAGACAATGAGGAAGAGGGCAGGAAGGGAGGGGGACAGGGTGATGCTGGGAGAGGAGAGAGTAAGGGAATTGGGGACTAGAAGGGGGAGAGGGAGGTGCTGGGAGAAGATTTGAAAGAGAAGGGTGGGCATGAGCAAGGCGGGAATGGAGCAAGTCATGTGTGAGGGCACAGAGGCATGAGGGAAACGGGGGCAGAGGGTGATGAGGGAAAAATAGGACAAAGGGGGCAGGGGCAGGCACCAGGAGGGTGCAGGTACCAGGGGATTCTGGGGGTGAAGCAGAAGGGCAGACACCTGAAGGGGAGGGACTAGCACCATAGGAGAGAGGCAGGACAGGTGTGTAGAGGGAGGTGTTAGGAGAGGGGATGAGGAGGGGTAGCTCACATGATCCGAGTGGGGCTACTGGAAGAGTGGGCACAGGGGGCAGAGAAGGGCTGATGGAGGGGGGCGGATCTCAGGAGGGCTGAGGGCAGTGAGAAAGGAAGGAGTCAGGACAGCAGAGGAGAGTGAGGGGTTGGGGGAGGGACAGCAGGTACCAGGGGAGCTGATGGAACAAGGGGAGAAGACATGGCAGCAGAGAGAAAAGGTAAAGGTTTAGGTGTGTAGAGGGAGGTGTTAGAAGAGGGGATGAGGAGGGGTAGCTCACATGATCAGAGCGGGGCTACTGGAGGAGTGGGCACAGGGGGGAGAGAAGGGCTGATGGGGGGCAGGTCTCAGAAGGGCTGAGGGCAGTGAGAAGGGCAGGAGTCAGGACAGCAGAGGAAGGTGAGGTGTTGGGGGGCAACAGGCACCAGGGGAGCTGATGGAGCAAGGGAAGGAGACATGGCAGCAGAGGGAAAGGGTAGAGGTTTATAAGATATTTATTAATAACTTGGGTGCCACAGTGGCACATCCAAACAAGCCACATGAACTCAGTACTGGTGCACAACACAAAATTCATTCTGCTCACGGGAGGAAACGCTTAAGCTATATCTACACTGGCGGCTTGTTGCGCAAGAACATCTTGTGCAAGAACAATATCAGGCGTTATTCGTCGTAGGATGAGGTTTACAGAAATTGGAATAAGCCGTCCGCTATTTCTAAATTATTTCAAAATAACAGAATTGCTGTGTAGATGCTCGCATTGTTATTTTGAAATAATGGTGCAGTGTGGACGCAACCTCAGAATGAACTGGATCAGAGCCTCTTGTTTGCATCTCGACTTTATTAAGATAAACACAATATTATAACCAGTCCTGAAATGAGCAGGGAATTCCTGAAGGGGAACTGTATGCAGCAAGAGTCAGAAATAATCAGTCAGAGAGAAGTAGGGAACCGAAGGCCCGGGGGCTAGATGCAGCTCTCGGCTTGCCTGAATCCAGCCCCTAAGGCTCAGGGCTTCTCCCATCCAGCTTGAGGAGCCCATCGTGCTGGAGCACACAAAATCTACTTTCATGGGCCCCAATAGGCTCTGTTGTGTGAGTAAACTGTCGGGAGTCTTTCTTCTTTTCAGTTGGGGACCATAGCAGTGAGGGTTTAATTGGTTGGTTGAGGGTTTTTTTTTTTTTTTTTTTTTTCCATGTTTTGCTTCTTACTTGTTTGCTGCCCCGACTGATTTTACTGTGGGTCAGCAGCCCCCAACCCAATAAAGGTTCCCCACCCTTGCCGCATGAGATGGAACAGAACAAGGTGATACACATCCAGAGACAACTTTATACAGAGCATCTGACATTCAGGCTCAAAACTCATTGGCAAGGAGAGCTAGGTCTGTGGTCTCATCAGAGGAAGTGGTGGAAGTGTCATTGCTCCTGCCATGCAAAACTAGCATTAAACAAAGAATGCATGATCAGTACCAACCCAGCAGTAGTTCCCAGGCAATGGGAAAGAACTGGGCTTAAAGATCCTTTCCTGCTTTAGGAGATTTGGGCTAGGATCAGTCTCTTGATTGAAAACCTGTCCTTTCTCTGGGCATAAATTGTTCCACTCCATCACCAAAGAAGTTAAATTTGGATCAGGCATAATGAACTGTGTGGCCTTTTACCAGTTCCAGCTGGAAGCACAGATGCCTGTTTCCAGTGGAGTTGGAACACCTAAGAGCTCTGCTGAGATTTGGACCTTTACTCCTGCATCTCTTTCCTTAAAGCTGAATCTCTTCTTACACCCAACAGAGCAACGTGGACATGCTGAGACACTCCCATCACAGCACACGTATTCCCGGGGACTGACGTATTGGGACCAAGGGAAGTTATTACATTTAGCAACACTGGCCGAGTTTATACTGTGACTAGCAAGTCTCCCTTCAACACTTTCAGACAAATCTTCTGGCCTTCCCCTTTCCAAACCACCTTCTACATTGGACTTGTTGGATGACTATACAGGCAGTGTTTCTGACATCATGAGCAGACCTCTGCTGAAGTCCAGTAGTGTTCCACGTTTGCCATTTTCAGAAGTTTATATATTGTTTTGACTCTACAGCTCAGCTTGCCTTCTTGCATATTACACAGCCCAGGACTCACAGTGCTACAAACCCCCCAATCTGATCTGTCCGTGAGTTGCCTGGGGTGAGAGATGGACTCACTCTTGGGTCTCACTTCCATGATGGGGGTTTTTCATGTCATTAAATATTTGTGGCCGCAGTTTCACAAATCCGATGAAATGGTAAAATACATGGGAAGTTATTCCAGTTATTCCTGATCCCCTTTTGGGATGTATCTATGGCAACACAATTCTCCAGACTGAGATTATTTGGTTCTCCTGGTATCCAGAACCTGTAAAACAAAGCTTATGTGTCAGACGTACCATTATGAGTGTCACAGAGGAAAGAGTTGTAGTGGAAATAATAACCTCTGATCTTCCAGAGAGATTCTCCTTCCTCCCTAAAATGGATCTGTAGCTTCTGATCACGATGCCCTAAAAACCTTCCCTTTCCTGGGCCAGAAACATTTTGCTCCAGCAGGTGACAGAGATCACTCTCTGAAACACACACACATCCACTATGTTGATTGTTGGACCGAGAGGAGGAAAGCAACCATTCACTATGCCGAAATATACTCACGCTGCTGTCTTGTTATATGGAGTCTGATCCTCCCAGCGCCACTGGCCCCTCTCCTGTTGAGTGAGACCAATGTGATAATTCTCCACTTGGATGCCAATAACTGTTCTTTTTACATAACTGGAAACGAAATCCTGGATTAAAAAAAAATCAATTTTAAATGTCCTTAGATGCAGTTACTTAGCAGTCTGCAGCAGGCAGGAATCTCTGGGGGAGTCTGGTGCTGGAGGTGGTGAGGACTAAGGAAGCCCAGGACTGATTGAACATGGAGCCAGAACAACCGGCTCGAATTCAAGAGCAGTGTGTGTATGTGTATAGGTCTCCTCTTAGGTTGGGCACTAAATTCCCAATAGAGCCTGACCCCCAGCAAGATACCTGCTCAGTTCCTGTGTTGATCACCACCAGATGGGAACCCATCCCTGTGCAGTTCCTCTTGCTGTCACTCCAGGTCATGATGTCTTTAGAGAAGTAGTAGCAGCTAGCCTGAAAGGGCTCCCAGTCCTTTGGGCAACATGTCCAGACTCGCCCTGCGAGGGAAGAAAAATTCAAGGAGGAATCACAATAATTAGAGATGGAAAATCTCCACTAGGACATCTTTGCCATTGTCTATGAACAATGCTGAATTGTTCTCTCCAGTTTATTCTGAAGGGTTTGATCTTTCCCAGCTGTTCAGCTTTGTTTAAATGAAGATGTAAGATGAATTGTGTCAGAAGATGTTAGCTATCACCCACAGTAAGCCTGGGGTAGACAAGGCAAGGTAGATGAAGATGTATTAGTTGGAATGTTCTAACCACGTACCTTTACATTCTCATCTAGACAGAGCAAAAAATGACTCTGTTAATAGAGTTTCCACACTTTTGCTTGGAATGCTAGGGTTAGAGAATGTTTCTTCATCCTCAACCTAAATTGCTCTTCTTTTTCTCCCTTTATATCTCCTGTCTCTGACCTCTCTCAATTAGCCCCTCCCTATCCTACTTGTTCACACTTTGCCCATGCATGTAGAACATTGCTATTTCTCTTCTTTAGCCTCCACTTAGACCCTCTGCATAGAGGGGCGAATCCCTCCAGTCCACTGTCACTGTTTACGCTGGCTGTGAACCAGGCCATTAGCCCAAAACACTGACACAGATTTCCGCTCTCTCTTTCAGTGTCACTGACCTTTTCCTTCGTCGCGCCCCACGATGCAATGCCACTCTATGGAACTCTGGGGCAAAGCCTTGTGCACCTCACAGTCTGGATTTACCTTGAGGAGAGAGACTGGTATAGGAGAGAAAACAAGAGAATGAATACAAAATACTTCCCTCCTTTTGCCCCCACGTACAACATGATTTCTTCTCCATCTCCTGGACAAGAATTGTCACAATGTGGTCACTCCCACATGGGTTTCCTCTACGTTCATATATACGAAAACCCGTCCCCCATAGGAGGAGAAGAGGGCAGCTCAGCTCCCATTAACTCTCTGCTGGTGGTGGGGACCAGTGTTACTGGGTGCTGCAAGTCAATCTTTCTTGATCAATGGGGCAAGAGAAGTGTCTGACCCACATGGGGTGTGGTGAGGCGGGCGTGCCCAGGATACAGTTTATTAACATTGTCACCTCTTGCTGAGTAGAAGCAGATGTTGGGGCCTACAGTGTTGTGGAATCTGGATATATTCTTAGCCTATTGAAAGATGTGCGCCACTTCCAGGCAATCATCTCTTCCAGAGCTCCTAGACCAAACACTACCATCATGTCCCAGGAAGCTGCCCTGCCAGAGGAATTGAATCTCTGTGCACAGATTAAGCCAGAGAGAAAACCCTTGCTGTCTACCACAGTACCACCCAAAGAACCTGCAACATGGAACTAAGAGTGGTATAGTCACACAGGAACGGGAAGGCAGAGTTTACTTGAGGTGAGTTACTGGCCATGAGACCAGTGTGAAGCCGAAGCTTTGGGTGTTGTAAAACATTGGACACATTCCAGGCAAAGAAAGGACAGTATGCACAAGATGGCCTGCATCTCATAAGGGAGAAGGGGGGTGGCACTAATCTTTTGGCTGGCTGGGGCATCCAGGAGGATGCTGAATTAACAACACATGAGAGAGGGGTCTGAGAAGGCAAATACAGAACAAATGTTTAATTGAATAACTTAAAGTCAAGGTGTTGAGAACTTGCTGAACTGAGGTGGCAAAGAATGTGAAAAGTGTTTTTTTTTCAGTTTCATACACACCAGTGCCAGCAGCCTGGGTAAGGTACAGGTGGATTTGGAAATGCAAAGAAGAAATTTGATATAATTGGTACTACTGAAACCTGGTATGAGGCTTCACATGACTGGAATGTTACAACCCCACTAGTTATAATCTGTTTAGAAGGATCAAGTAGGTAAGAAAGATGGCGGAGGGCTGTGAAACTCAGATCACCCCAACTGGTAACAAGCAACACGTTTCAGCTGGCCTGAGCAGTTCGGTGTACCCCAGTTCATTGATGTCATATTCTGTGCCTAATATGTGTCACATAATATGTCATTGGAAAACTAATAAGTTGCTGATCATTAATAGTCTTGTGCGATGTAAGTACTCAGCATGTATTTAAAGTTATGAATAGATATGTTGGAATAACAGCTAAAATGTGTTTAAAGCAGGCATGTGAGGGGGTTTGGTAAATAGGTCTGCCCTAGAGAAAGGAATGTGTTTGCTTCTCTGACCAGCTGGGCAATCAGGCAGAGACAGCGAAAGCCTCTTTAAATGTTAGGTAAACATGGCTATAAAGCTAACAAACAGTAAAGAGAAACTTTTTCTGAGCTATAAAGAAAAGGGGTTTGAACCCAGGGCTGGGACAGACTTCGATTTCGCCAGGCTCTGGGCAAATACACTTCTGCTGGCCTAGTAGGGGCTTGGCTTCAGGTCCTGTGGAAGGGGCATGGCCTCAGGTGGATGGGGTGGGGCTAGTGGCAGCCAACGCTCAGTGCCGCCTGGACCATGTCGTGCCTCTCCTGCCAGCCCTCAGTGCTGCCCTGCAAGGACCCAGGGCTCTGGCTGACGCTGCTGCTGTGATAGGAGAAGAAATGGGCTGAATCTCCAGGCCCTTTTACATAGCCGGACCCTGGGGGCAACTACCCCTTTTGCCTCCCCAGCCCCGTCGATTGCCCTGTCTCAGCCTAAAAAGATAAGCAATATACTAACTGACTGTGTAAAATATTACTGCAATATGATGCAAGTATATTGACTAAGATCTTCTATGAAAGTCTGTGTCACACTAGTGATTAATACCAATGTGCAATGTCTGTGAAAGCAGGGTCTGAATCAATGCTTCCATTACAGCCAGCTGAAATGGGAAAGAAATCCTGGGTGTGTTTATGTAAATACAGTTTGCCCCTGCTTTGCTTTGACATGTTAGATATTCAGCTGTTACAATGGTGTTTTGCTCATTGTAATCAGCTTGGCTGGTGTTGGGTCACAAATTGTGTTAACACTGATTTCAATGTGTGCAATTATTGGGGGAATACAAAGAAAGTCTGTACTTAACCTGGCACAAAGGAGGGAAACAGTCTCAGTTTAAAGAATGAGATTCTGGATGTGTGCATATAAATATAGTTCACTCAGTTTGCTTAGGCCTGCTAGATATTTAACTGTTACAATGGTGTTTTGCCCATTATAACCAATTTGGCTGTTGTGGGGTCTCAAACTGTGTTAACACTAAATGCAGGAATTGTGAAGTATGGTCACCAATGCTGGCACTTATTGGGGGAATGCAGAAAAGTCAGACTGTGGTTAACTCAGTTCAAAGGAGAGAGACTATCAGAATAAAGTACCTCTGATGGACAAGGGTCCCCCTCCCAAAGCTCTGTGAAGTTAACTGGGGAGGAAGGACTCTGTATCAGCAGGCTACATGCTCTCCAGGCATGAGCTATAAGACCGGTTCAACCTGTTTCTCCTTCCCCTTCCCCCCCCTCCCCGGTTCTAACAGAACTCATTTCTTATTTTAAATTTACTCCAGTGGATACTAGAATTTCTCATGGCTGGACTGTGAATTGGGCCAAGAGCTGAAATCACTAGGCGTGGCCCAGAGCCAAATCCACCACCAGCCAGTGGAAGATGCAATGAGTGGTCAGCAGAGCAGCAGCAACACGATGAGCAGCCAGCAGAGAGGCAACAGTGACACGTAATGAGCGGCCAGCAGGTGGATGGTGAGTGACCCACTGAGTGAGTAAGCTGCCTTCTACCCCCCCCACTCCATTATTCAGGATGGGAGGTGAATTCTGTGGATGCAGCTCTGAACTCTGGGTCTGCCCTGACCAAGGTCAGCTACTGTGAGTGGGGTGCAGAGAAGGATTGGGCATGTGAAGGGGACATTTACACTGCTGGACTTGAGAACCTGAGGAAAAGAACATTGCCCAACCTATTGGAGTGGGACTGTTACTCGCGGGTTTATGAGCCGTGATTGTGCTGTTTTCTCAAATCAATGCCACATTACTTCTTTCCCCTTTTAGTTAAGGTTTATTTTCTATGCTCAGACTCTGCGCTTGCGAGTGGGGAAGCATTGCCCAGGGGGGTTTGAATTTCCCACATTAGTGGGTGGAGGTGAAAGAAAGGACAAAACTCCCCAGGAGTCTGAGGGAACAGTTGAACAGGTATTTAGAAGAACAAAACTAACTGGAAATAAAACATTTGTATTTTGTGAAGAGACTAGGAAAATAGGGCTCTAATTATGTTGTTGTTTCTACTTTTGTTGCTGAATATAACTGGAAGTTTGAGTCCTCTATGGGTACGTCTAGACTATAAGCCTCTTTCAAAAGAGGCTTTTGAAAAAGCCCGGGTCCCAGCCTAGGGCCCTGTGAGCAACCATACCACACGCTGCCTGCTCAGCAAGGATTCCACCGCCCTGGGCTCCTTCCTACGTCCCTGAGCATCGTTCCAGTCTCGTGCCTGTTGGGCCGGGTAGCGGTCCTCCCGAGGCAGGGCTGTCAGTGTGGCTGCGGCAGGGGCTGCTGCTCCTGGGGCTGTGGTCTCCACTGGCCTTCCCTAAGCAACCTGTGCTTCTCTATATATACTTGCCAGCTGGGCTCTCACTCCCCTAATGGGTTCAGCTGGCTTCCACAAGCCAATTGTGCTGCCCTAGATAGTTGCCAGCTGGGCTCTCTCTGGCCCTAAACCGCTCCAGCTGGCCTCTTTCTTTCTAGCCCTGGCTCAGGGCCTGAGTCCTGGTCTTAAAGGGCCAGTGCAAGGCAGGCGCCCTGTCACAGAGAGGAATCCCTCGATATTGAATTGGCCCCTAGTTGCTGCTGGCACTGCCTGGAAGAAGGGTTACATCTGTATTTGCAAACCATCAGGGATTATGATAAATAATTGTTTTTATACTTTTACATGTGTGCCCAAGCAAAGGAAGAAAGAGATCTCTCCAAGTCAGGATGGAATGTCACAGTTATCTATCTGTCCTCAATGAAGTTAAGCAAAGTGTGAGCAAAATAATGGAGTCCTCATTTACACAGAAAATCAGCAAGGGAATGGGAAATCCACAAGAAGGGATGAACAGCAAAGGATCTTCCTGACTCTTGAAACAAGGATAAAGCTCCTTGGATAACATCATATACCTGTGGACAGTTCAACTAACATGCCTGCATAATCTCATGACTCCAGATAAAGGGCTTTAAGAAAAACAGCAAATATTGTTAAATTTGTGATAACAACAGTTGGCGACACTGAAATCCATGGCCTCCATAGACCTGGCAACACTAATAACAGCTTGTTTCCCGCTAGTCCATTTCTTCTGGAAAGAAGCTACAACTCTGCATTTACTGGCTGCATTTACAGGAAATACATCTCTAAGCATAGAAAATCAGTTGCCTTGGAGGTGAAAGGAGGCAGCTGTTAAATGACACAAAGAGTAGGTAAAGAACAAAATCCCAGTGGACTCCAGGAGGCAGGATTTGATATAGACACCTGACTAAAAGCTGCTATTGATGTGAAATACATTGCCCGCTCTTTCATTTCCACAAGGGAGCCACATTAAGTTTTACCTGTTGCACAAAAGGTGGCACCTCCAGCAGTCCCTTGCACTTCAGGGTCAGATTGTGAGGGAGGCGCATCCTCTTGAGTGACCTTCAACACACCCTTCCCTCAGCATCACAGTGTTTAGGTCCCAGTGGTATATGATAGCCTGGCCTGGCTAGCCTACCTCCTCAGCCTATGCTGTGGTGTCTCTCTGAGACAGCAGGAGAGAAAAGTCCAGTAACAGTGACTTTACTGTTAAAGAAAAATAATGAAACCTCCCACCCACACAGCTGTCTCTGGAACCAGTGGACTCATTCAGATTCCTTTCAAGACTATAGAAGTGTCCACCTCTGGCAGGGGTGAGTGAAAGCAGAGGGAGACCCAGTGACATGACACAGTTATTAATAGTCTTCATCCTACGTGGGATGGAAACCACCCAGAAACACAAGTGTGCTGCAGGGAGTGGTGCTGGTGACTCAGGAGGGGAAACTTTTCTGTGCCAAACTTTAAAAAACAACAAATAGTCTGGTAGCACTTTATAGACTAACAAACCATGTAGAGGGTATCATGAGCTTTCATGGGCACAGACCACTTCTTCAGATGACTGGAATTTTGAGTTTAGGATGTGCAGACCCAAAATAAATAGGGGAGAAGGGAGAGGTGGAATGGAGCAGAGGATTAGCTGTAGAGGAGCAGACTATTGTTCTATCTAACCTGGCATTAAGGTTCTGGCAGCGGTGGATGTCAGATGCCTCAAATGAAAATACTGTATATTCCATATCTAGCAGCTGGTCCCACTTTAGGGTGGGGGGGAGGGAGTTCTTCCTAACTCTCTGAAGAGGTCATTTATCCTGTGATGCATGAGGGTTTATTACCTTTTGCTTAATTATGCTGCCCCTTTTATATTCAGCAACTGCACCAGGCTTGGTTGATTCCCAACATCAGGGAGATCCACAACTTGGCTTTACAAACCTCATTTTACTGATTCTAAATTTACCAGCCACAATCTTACTTGAGATCCTTTGTTTTTGTAAGATGGGAGAAAGGAAAGAGGCAGGGGGAAGGGATTCTAAAGAGCAATACAATCCCTTCTTGTATTTCTTTCCAGTGCATCCAAATAAAATCCAAAACCCACCCATACAGCCGGAGATGACACAAGCCTTGAGGACAAGGGCACACACCAGAATGACCCAGGGATTGAGCCAGGAGCAACGTCTCCTCTCCTCTGGTGGGGCTGAAATACACAAGGTGAAAACAAGAATCACGCACCTTTTCCAAAGAGAAAAGCGCAGTAGACACAACTATTTGGAGTGGCACAAGGGGAGCAGGAGGTGATACTGGGACAGTGTCATGCCTTGGAGCAGCAGCTCCATGTTCTACTGCTTTCACCGCTGTGGTTCCCAGGAGGGAACTGTACAGATGCCAGGAGATGCCGCTGGAGGGAAGGGCTGTGGGTGATACAGCTGTGCCAGAGAAACTGCCGGTGTGGGGCTGCTCCTTTTGCTGCTGCAGTTCTGAATGCGCCGCCCCCAGCCTCCGGGAGAAGGAACATGGCCCTTCTTGCCCTACCCAAGAGTCAACTTTTCCAATAGAATGTCCTGAGACAGAGGTGAAGGATTTTCCTAGAATGACACCTGGACCCAGGAGTCTGTTAATTAAAAGTGGCTCAGACACAGGAGCTGGGATTAGGGCCGAGTCCCCCAACTCTTCTCTTTTTTTTCTCTCTACCCATGAGGCCTGTCTCTCCTCCTCCCTCCCCTTTGCTCCATTACTTGGTCCCCCAACACCTCCTTTTCTTCCCATAACATCTCCCCTCATTTCTCTCTCCTTCCCCCTCTCCACCCACTCCTCCTTTCTCAGACTGCAGTCTCTTCCTCCACCTCTGTCCCTGTTTACCTCACCTTTCAATCCCCATCTTCTCTGCTTCCCTCCCCTGTTCAGTCCCTTGTTTATTCTCTTCTTTCTCCTCTCCTCACCTTGCCCTGCTCTCTAGGGATCTGTCCGCACTTGGCTGTAGGAGGGTGAGTCCCAGCTTGAGGAGATGCGCCTGCACTAGCTTTGATCAAGCAACTGTGCTAAAAATAGGCTGTAGCCATAGTGCCATGTGCCACCGGAGGGGGACAGCCACCCTGATGACATGCCTAGCATATCTGACAGCACCACTTGTGGCAGCTACCCCCACTTGCTGCTTACACTGCTACAGGTACAGTCTATTATTAGGGCACTAGTTCAAACAATGCTAGAGTGGGTATGTCTTCTTGATATAGGAATCACACCTCTTGGCCTCCTGTGGGCATAAGATAAATGGACATGTGAATGCAGCATGGGTAAGGCATCCCTGTGCCAGCTGTAAAATATCTGCTACACATAATAATGGTAGTGAGGACGGGATGGGCTGAGCTTCAGCACTGGCTGCCTATCCCAGTACAGACTCACTGGGGACCCTAGGTGGATACTTGCATTATTCACCTCTGCTGGGACCCAGGCTGCCACATCTCTACTGCAATTGTCTGCACTAGCTGGATTAGTGCTACACAGGGATGCCTACCTACCTGTGCTACAATCACCCCTTCATTTGCAGTGTATATGTAACCTGGCTCTTCAGTTCTGTGCCCATTCGGCTTCTCATAGACAGTAGTTTATAAAAGTCAGAATTGGGGACAAATACAAATGCTACAAACTGGATTGTTTACACTGAAAAAAATCATGATGGTAAGGTCAGAGGTTGGCATGGTAATGAGCTGTAAGATTGTAGAAATCGGAGAAAATGCTAAGGGTTCAAATAAGCCAAATATGTTTCGGCTGGTTCATTTAATGGGCTACGGTTGCCACCCCTTCTTGGACATTGCTTCTGTGGGGTCACTGAGGAGACAGAAGATCACTGCTTCTCTCTCCTAAGGTACATCTATACTGCAGGCTTATTTCAAAATAAGCTATTCTGGAATAGTTATTCTGAAATAGCTTATTTTGAAATAGCACGTCTACACTGCAGGGAAGCCTCAAATTAGTCCAAGGCAGGCTCCCCTAATGTCGACGTGCTCTCTCGATTTAGAGCCCCAGGAGGCACTGGGGAGGAATAACTTAAAATGGCCCTGGTGAGGGGCTATTTTGAAATAGCAGCTGTGGATCATCTACACACACCTTATTTCAAAATAGCTATTTCGGAAGAGGCGTTATTCCTCGTAGAATGAGGTTGACAGATTTCGGAATAAGCCGTCCGTTATTTCAAAATTATTTTGAAATAACTGAATGGCTGTGTCGACACTCGCTTTGTTATTTCGAAATAACGCTAGTTACCTCGAAATAACGGTGCAGAATAGATGCACTCTTAATTCCATTCTCCCTTCCCCAATGCTTTGGGCCATTCTCCAGCCCTGTCACTCCCTCTCACTCTTTCTCTGCCCCTCTATCCTTTCCAAACATCATTCTCCCATTTTACATGGTCTTTCTCCAGAGCCATTCTCCTCTATCACTCCATCTCCATTGCCTTCCCAAAACCTTATTTCAGCCAATCCCACCCAGCAAAGTGAAATAAAATCCCCATTCTCACCTGCAGTTCCTGGGCTGGATTTCCCTGCTGGGCTCATGGTTTCTTTCCGAACCTCACTGTCCCCACGGGTAACTCCAGGGTCTTCACCCAGCCCCCAGCACAAGGGGCTGTTCTACAGAAGAGCAAATTATATTCTGAGTTGGCCAAACACACAAGCAAGAGCTTGAATGATGTCTGATGAGATGTTCAGGGAGTAGAAGGAAGGAAGTTCCCAACCAGTCTTGTGATGTCTTATTTCAAATCAGAAGTGCATTATTATGAGTAATAAAAGCAACTAACATTCCACCCTATCCTTTGCCCCCAAATATATACAGAAACAAAGTGAAGAAAGTGAGGCCAGAAAAGAAGAACTATTTCTCATCCCTGAAATAGTCTGTTTCGAAAGTATTCATGTGGTTTTTGCAACATGGAACATTAACCCTTAATTAGCTAGGTTTGTCCTGTGACTGTAGGGGGAGAGGGGGAATCATTAGCCTGTCAGATGTCACTTGCTACAGATTAAGCCAGCCTGATACTGGCATGGGAGGTAGCATCAGGAAGATCAGAATATATTATTTATTATTATAGATCTAGCTCTGCACTTAGGTGGTTGTTTCAGAAGTGCTTGCAGATCTCCCTAATGGATCTGTTCAGCTAAACTTGGGACAACCCTTACACCAGGGGTGGGGAATCTTTTTTGGGTCCAGGGCCACTGACCCACAGAAAAATCAGTCAGGGGCCACACACAAGGAAGAAGCAAACACAAAATCCAAAAACCACTACAACCCTTCCCGATCTGGCCCCCAAGTGAGCAGGAGAAAAACAAAAACACTCACAGATGTGGCTCCCAACTTGAGAAACGGGACTTCTCTCAAGCTCCAGCCCATGTGGGGGAGCAGTGCCTGAAGGGAATGCTTCACTGCAGCATGCAAAAATGCTCAGAGATACTTCCCCTCTCCCTTGCCAGGCAGAGCCCGCCTGTGGCTTGCAATCTGGCCTGTGGCTTGCTTTGATCAGGCGCACAAGACTTGGGGCTTGCCCCCTGCCCACACAGTGGTGTGAGCCTGCTGGTGCTGATATCCAGCCATGGGACTGCTCGTGGCTGAAGTGGCAGTGCGAACTTGCAACCATGCAGAAGTGGGGAGGGTGCTCAAAAGCCGGAACAAGGCAAGCCACAGGAACATATCCTCCTACCTCTGCCTTACAGGAACATATCCTTTCCCCCCTCTCCTCCTCCATCTTACAGGAACATATCCGCATATATCCCCCTTTCCAACTAACAATCTTATTGAACATTACTCAAAATTGTATATAAACAAATGATCTATTAGGGATATCGGTGTGTAGACAACTACACGAGTAACCAGTAAGCCGGGGAATGAGAGCTGGTACCTGTGAGAAGCTGGTTTAAAAGCTGGCTCCCCACAAGTACTGGATCCGCCTGCCCCTGCCCCCCATGCTTCTACTTCTGATAGAGAGGCAGCAGCACGGAGGGTGAGGGGAGCAGGCTGGAGCCAATACTCATGGGGAGCCAGCTTTCAAGCCAGCCCCCCATGCCTGTTCTGACAGAAGATCCAGCGTGAGGGGAGGGGGCAGGGGAGCCTTGGCCTGTCGCGGGCAGAGGCTGCTTTGCGGCAGCAGCCCTTGCCTGTGGGGGTCCGAGCTCTCTGCAGACAGAGACTACTTGCATCCCACAGAGCAGCCTGAGTCTGAGGGGAGCTCAGATCCCCCCAATGGACAGAGGCTGCTGCCACCTCATGCTTCTGCCTTTGTATTAGAGGCAGTAGCGCGGGGTAGCAGGCAGCTGGTCTGTGCAGGGAGCTGGTTTTTAAACTGGCTTCCCTTGTGGACCAGCTTCTGCCTGCTACCTTGCGCTGCTACCTCTGATACAGAGGCAGCAGCATAGAGTGGCAGAGGGCTCCCTGGGAGTGGGGTCAGAGTATACTGGCTGCCAGCCCTGCCTCCGGGGACTATCAAATAGTCATGTAACCGTTAAGATTTCATGACTATTCAATTACACAATATCTAAAATCCCCACTATCTATATATAATTAACTTGGCTTGTTATAACTTCAGCAATTCTCAATTTGCCTTTGCGGTTTCCAACACAGTCTGGTTGCTCTGAATGACAAGAATACTGAATCAGTTGGTTTAGCTGTCTGTGGCTCTGTCTCCTGCTCCACTTACCTTTCCAGTTTAGTACTTACCTATTATCCTCCCTTTCTTTGGAAACATACCGTGGATGTCTCCTGTTCCTTCGGAGGTCTGTCCTTCAAAGGGGTTACTTCCTATGACCCAGGAACCACTGCACAAATAATGTTCGCCCTTTGTTCCCAGCAGTTTTCATCACATATGCAATCCATATTGTGAAACTCCAAGGGCCCCAGTAAAGGTCTCATACTTCCTGGCATAGGCAAGCCACTTGCCCAGTATTAAACTGTCCAGCCGTGCTTTTCTAGTGTTTGTGTCCTCTCCAGTACTCAAACAAAACTAGAACTGGTTTTGCCAGGAATCAGATACACAAGGGTGTGTTGGTGGGAGGGAGACAGCATGTGTTGGTGGGAAGGAGGGGGCTCGCATGCGGCAAGACCTTGCCTTGACTATGCAGGACTAGTCCCATGATTCCAGAAGTGCTGGAATGCATACTGGGAATGTAGACAGGGAATGATGCTCTTCCATCATCCTTTTCTGCTTTTGGTTTGTTTGTCTTTTTCTGTCTGGTTTCTTCAATTCTTCTATAGCATGTTCATTTGTAACATCTTTCACCACACTATTAGAAGGTCTTGCATTTAGCTCTCTCTTAATTATAATGCCTGCAGCCAGGAGACAATCTACACTTCAAGGTGGCTACCCTAGAGTTAAGCAATCCTAAATGAGGGTTTGAAATAGATTTGCTTTTGAGGGATTTAGGAGGTTTTTTTTTTTTTTAATTTTTACACCATTTTCCTCTAGCCCTTTTGGCTGTGTCTATCTAGGACTTGCTATATTATGCTAGAACCCATGGTACCTTGTAAAATATTTGAATTCATATCTTTCAGATTGTGGGCCATTTTCTGACATTACTACCGAAAACATATCGTATCTAGCCAATACTGATTTAGTGTATGTTATTACAGGCTTTACAATGGTATTGCCCAGTAGTGCAATCTCTGGAAAGTGATATTACTAGTTTAATATCAAAACATAGTCTTTACCTGATATTTGAATAAATCAATACCAACTTTATAAAAAGCTTCCTGGTGTACCGGCACAGGTTCTTTCATGGGTTTGGGCTACAAGTTCTGATGTTTCACATTTCTGAACTGCCTTTTTCATTCATTTGAGGCCAACACAACATATCTCTGACCCCTCTTTTCTCTTTTTAATTCCTGAATGTTCTTTGTGAATTCTAACAAGCACACCAGACTGTAACATTTTTAGAATAGTTATTTGGCTGTTTCTAAACAAAACACCATTAATCTCTGAGGGCACATCTATACTTACCAGAAGATCGACACTCTGGATGTCGATCTTTTGGCATTTGAGTTAGCAGGTCTAGTGTCTAAATCGAATGATGAGGGCCTCTCCCGCCAGCATCTGGTACTTCTCCTTTTTCAAGGAATAAAGGAATCCAATGGGAGTGTCTGCTCCCATCAGCCTCCTGCTATGTGGATGCCATCAAGGCTTAGCTTAGCATTTTACGTAGCTGTAGTTGTGTACCTTAAGCCAATTGTCCTGGTCTAATGTAAACCAGGCCTGAAAGTTCTTTGAAGAGAAAATATGGACTAGGTGTCCAGGCCAACCTACAGTTATACGTTTTATTACTTTTTGCAAGGTCTCATCATGTGCTTTGGTTGCAGCAAACACAGTCCGCATTTTGTCAGAGACAGAATAGTTTTTCTTTATAAGGATCACATGCACTATCTTCCATTATTGTAAAATGTATTATTTTTCAATATTATTTTTAACTTTACCACTAATTTACAAGCAGGGGGCCTGACAGACATGCTCGACCCCTGGGCAAATGGGGTTCAGCTCTCCTAGAAGAGGCAGAGACTTGAGCAGAAGAGGGAGATGGGGCAAGCACTGTGCGCGCGCGCACACACACACACACACACACACACCAGCCTTAACAGCTTCTGAGGCTCTGGCCAGTGTTGCTCCTGTGGTAGTGGTGGCTGGGTGCCCCAGTGCCCTTTTGAATCACTGGGGCCCAGCGCAATTGCCCTCTTTTCCCCTTCCCCCTCCACCATTGACAGGCCTGTTCACAAGTGCAGAGTAGAAATGAACTCTCCGCTGTTAGCCCTTCACTTCACCAATCTAATATCAATGTACCGTTTTATAGACCCTGAAAATAAATGTTGTTACCACACTTGTTTGAGTGTATATAACAAGTGTATACTATACTAGTATACTTGTATACTATACTAGTGTATAGTTTAGAATTAAAAAATGTTCTTATTCATTGCCAAGGTAATAGTCCAATCCTTTGCTGCATTGACTTCATTCACAGCTCTTAAAGAAAACTCTTCTGTGCTGCTAGTACCAAATCGCCTTATGCTACACACTGTGCATACATAGCTTCTTTTTGTGCATCTGCTGCTTTGTTTGTACATTCTTGCAAAATGATTGCATTTCTTGAGCTTCTTGCAATGTTGTGTAAATGCAGGACATTGCTGAAATTTGCTTTCACACCTTGTGCAATGCTTTATGTTGTACTCAACCTAATTCCTTTCTTGAAACTCACTTTTTACAGACTTGTTGAACATTTCTTCTCTTTACTGCATTTATGCTTTCCCTTTGCACTGAGGGAAAACAATACATCAAAACAGTGCCTTGTTTTCCCAGCAAAAGTATCAATCTATTCTGGATAACCTCTCTTGCTTGGCATGCTCTTAATGTTTCATCTGGATCTTTCAGAGTCTTTGTCTAATCTTTGGATTATACCCGTCACCAATTGATTTCTGATTATTGAATCTGAACTGTCCATAATTTGTTTCAGCAGTTTTGAGATCTACCATAAATTCTCCAGATGACTCTCCTCCATAAGTTCTCATGAAGTTTATATCTTTCAGAAATTGTTTTGGATGTGCAGTAGTCTTCAAATTGCTGTATAATCATTTTATAGCATGCTTTTCTGCCTGACTCAGCTGCATGCTATTGGAAATATCTAGTGATTTTTAAAAATAGCTCCATTCTGCTGCTTATTTTCTTTTTCACTTGCACTGGCAGTGACCACACAGCCTCAGTCTCTCAGTGGCCAGACCCCTCTCCCAGTCCAGAGCCTTTCCCCACACTTTGCAGGTCCCAGTAGCTCACCACATCCAGCTGCAGGCTGTGCTGCTTGGCCAGTTCCAGCTCCTTGTGTTGTTTCTCTGTTCCTTTTGGCTTTCTGAGCACTGCCAGTCTGCTGCTCAACACAGGGTCTGCACTGCTTGGCCTGTCTGTGTCTGGTTCTGTCGCTGCAGGACTTCTTCTTGTACTCCTCTTTCAGCTCTCTGTCTTTGCAGGACCTCTTCTGCACACAGCTTGTTTGTTCAGAGACAGAGCCAGAACAATCCCCACTTACAACCTGTCAGTCAGGCTGAGCTGGAGTGTTGACTGCTTTCCATTGTCTCTGGGGTCTGTCAGTCTCATGAACCCTTCCCCTTCTGAAGCTGGTAAACCAAAAAACTCCCACAGAGTTTTAGTAAGGGGTAACAGTCCCCTTACATACAGGCTGAATCTATGTTGAAATCCCTTCCATTTATTTGCTGTACTATCCGATAACTTCAGTTCCAGTGGTGCTCTCAGCTGCTCAATTTTCTTTACAGCTTTTGTCTTCTACGCTCGTCTCCACTCAGTCTTTGTTCACTGGTCCCTGATACTGTCCAGTGCTCATGGGTGCTGTGTAAAGAGATTCAGAACTGCAGGAAGATCAGAACAGACCATGTATTACAGATTCAGCTCAGCAAAGCAGTCTGGTGTTTCAGCTTAGGTGACTCTTCAGAAGTGCTCACATCTCCCACTAATGTTTCTATACAGCTAAAAGGGACAAATCCTCACAAGGATAGCTCCAAGGTAAATGCACGATCCTACAGGACATGACATTAATGACTGAGTGCAGGGAAGGCCTCTGTGGCATCAAAACAGAGCCCATCTTAAATCCGGTGTTATTTCACTTGAGTAATTTTCTGCAGTTAAAGGTTTTCTTTGTTTAGGGGGAGGTGGGTAAGACTGGGAAGGATTAGTTCAGGTCACCAAACTTGGTATCCTCCACCTCCACCTTCCTACATCTTAAAGCTGTGACTGAAAGCACCCCTGTATTCATGCTCCACATGTTATTGCAATAATCTATGTATAAAATATGCCTGGTGAAGTATCATTTGAAAACTAACAACTCACTATTTGATAATATAATGGTGAAATGTATGCAACAATCTTCAGTGCAAAGATAAGGAATCCCTCTCTTGGATGCCATTAGCACATGTTCAGACAATACAGTCCAGCAGAACTTCAAAGAATCCTAGAATCCTAGGGCTAGAAGAGACCTCAGAAGGTCATCGAGTCCAGACCCCTCCCCAAAGCAGGACCAACCCCAACTAAATCATCCCAGCCAGGGCTCTGTCCAGATGGGACTTAAAAACCTCTAGAGATGGAGATTCCACCACCTCCCAGTGCTTCCCTACCCTCCTAGTGAAATACTTTTTCCTAATATCCAACCATGTTGTTAAACAAATCTATTCTAACTCTTAATGCTTACCTCAATTTACATATAAGCAGTAAACAGGGTCATTGAGCCATCAAGCAAAGATAAGGGCAGGAGAGAAAGCACTTTTGCATTTCAGAACCCAGAGGTGGGAAGAAAGATTCCGGGGTTTCCTTCACTACCAGACTGCAGCTACGTCTAGACTGCAGGCTTCTTTCGGAAGAAGCTTTTCCAGAAGAGATCTTCTGAAAAATCTTCTTCAGAAAGAGCATCCACTGCCAAAGCTCATTGAAAAAGCAATCTGCTTTTTTGAAAGATAACGTCCACACTGAATGGATGCTATCTCACATGGAAGCTATCTTTGCTATGGATGGAGTAGCTACCAGGGCACCTGTGATTTTTCTCTTTCCCCTTCTTTCGAAAGAACTCCTTCTTCCCCATTCACACACCCCTCTTTCCGAAAGAGCTCTTTCAGAAACAGGCTTCTTCCTCGTAGAAAGAGGAGTGCCAACGCCAAAAAAAAAACCCTCTGTTCTTTCAGTTTACTTTCGGAAGATTGTGATTGCAGTGTGGATGTAATGCAGGTTTTGTTGGAAAAATAGCCTTTAAAAAAAACCCTCTGTAGTGTAGACATACCCTTCATGTCCCCTTTTTTTTACTGTTTGAATAAATGTTGCTTTGAGGGCTAATCTCCTGAAGAATTGACTACAAGGTCTAACTGAAATATAAAAGAAAGGGGCAGAGAACCCCAAGGTCTCTCTCCCTCTCCCTCTTTCACTTTAGAAGACAAAGGTACCTGCAGGTCTTTGGGAGAGATTCTGACCAAGCAAAGGGACAGTCATCCTAGAAGAGTCTGAATAAGACAAAGCCTTAACCCAAACTTAAACAAAAACTTGAACCCAATTTTACTAGATTAGGTTAGACACATGCTGTCATTTTTATTTGCTTGTAACCATCTCTAAATTTGTCTCTTATATTTGAATTAAGTTAAAATACAATCTTCTTTGTTAACAACCTTGTCTTATTCTTTAATCTAAACCAATCTAGTGCAGTGTTGAAACTGCACCGTTTGGGAACCTTAGCGTAGCCTGTGCTAAAGATTCTGTTATCACTTTGAGGATTGACAGGGTCTTGTCCCAAGATCAGGCCCACTCAGATTATTATTACAATTATTCTATGGTTGGGGACCTCAGTGTGCACAGGTGCAACACTCACACAAGAGGAACTCTTTTATGTTTACAAAGAAATAATTTATGAATACATTTAATGAAGTTACACACATTCTAACAGCAAGGCAGATAGAATTCAGAATGTGCACCTGAACATCCATATTCTCACACCAACCCTTGAAGAACAACCTGAACTATTTACCATTATTTTTCTCACCATCACCTTCCTCATGTTTTCCTGTGGCGATCGTACTGGCCTCTCATTCACTCTACATCTCTACCTGTGCTGCCCCTTTTATAATATGTTACATTGATATTACCATGTCCACTGAGTTTCTCCTCTTCCTTTTTTGTATTTCCTCTCCTAAATTTTTTCCATGTGTTCTTTTTCTCTAGGATAGTTTATTTATAAATGTCACCCCATTATCAGATATGTCAATTCATTGCCATGGCACCTTTGCAACTGGATGTTCTAACCCAAACCTTCCAGAAGCTGGTGTCAGTTCATATTATATGGTCAGCAGATGTCATTATGGACAAAACTCCCCCTTCCATCCTACTTCTGGTCCCCCATAACTTGTGATAAATTTATCTATACCAAAGTTTGCAGGCCTCAAGACTCATGCTAACTGCAAAAGCTAGTGTCTTGCAGGATACAAACCTGGAGATTCCTGGCATTACTATGGAATATAATAAAGCATAATATAATGCTATGCTAATGCTATGATGGATGGGAGAGGTGCTGTCCTTTTCTAAATATCCTAGCATTCAGTAACTAAAGGGTTAAACCCTGGTACCTAGGGAGTGTTGGGAGGTGTGATGGGGCAATACAGCCCCACACTCGTGCCCAGAATGGCATGGACATAAAGCTGGGACCTCAACCGCTGGGGCTCGGATATGGGGCAGGGGACGCATCAGACAGCGCGACACACGCTGAAGCTGTAAGTGAAGGGGTCGTGCTGGGCGTGACGGAACATTCCAATGCTGCCTCAAGGGAAGGGGCCTGGTAAGAGTGGGTCTCTCAAGAGGTTGCCCGTGAAATGCCGAGGGGAACTGGAGGCGAAGGGGAGATTGTCCCCAAGACACAGGACGAAACCCCGAGAGGGGAGGAAAGAAGGAGGCATGGGAGAAAGGACGGGATGGATACCAGACCGGGCGAGAGTGAGTCTGACGTTCATGTCCCTGGAGGAGGCAGCTGGGAGGACCCAGCAATAGGACACAAGGAAGAGGGAACACGGGGAAAGGAAGTAGCCCAGGATGGGTGCAGGAATTGCAAGCTGATGGGCTGGCGAGTTGAGGGCAACAGCCCTGCCAGTCGAGACAGGGACAGAGGGTCCCTGTGTCCCTAGGGTCCAGGGCGGAGACTCGGAGAGTGGGAGGGCCCGAGTCTCCCTTTCCCATCTGAACCCTCCCCATCAGGTCTGGATCTCAACTCTGGCAGGTGCGAGTGGTAAATAGCACCAGGAGCAGTGAGAAGCCCGTACGGGGGCTCCTTCCCTGCAGGGCTTTGCTTGGGCGGGGACCCCGAACAGAATCTCAACTCTGGCAGGTGTGAGTGGTAAATAGCACCAGAAGCAGGGAGAAGTCTGTACGGGGGCTTCTTCTCTGCAGGGCTTTGCTTGGGCGGGGGCCCCGAACAGGGTGAGAGCAAATAGGTGGTCGGGGAGAAGTCCCAAGTAAGGACTTGGACCCCACCACCTGCTAACAGGGCAAATAGGTGGTCGGGGAGAAGTCCCAAGTAAGGACTTGGACCCCACCACCTCCTAACAGGAGGGAACCAGGAGAATCAATGGGAAGAAAACCAATGGGAAGAAAGTGTTGAGATTTGAATTGAAAAGGTATCTACTTGCTGCTTTTCTTCTGTGGAAGTTCAAACCAGGGGAAAAGATGACTTGAACCAGGCAGGAAAACCCAGGCCTAGAAATAGACTGAACCTTGGAAGTATGGGTATGTGAGTAGATAGGGAATGTATTAGGTAGATGCGATCAGGTTATTTTCTTTGTTTTTTTGTTTGGTTATACGTCTCTGTGCTGAGTCCATGTGCCTCCCCCCCATCCATTGTAACTAAAGCTGAATCCCAAGGGAGTAATTCTCTGCTTTAATCTGTTTTTTCTTAGTTGCTTTATAATACCTAGCGACCAAATATGATTTATCAAGTATTTCATTTAGTTTTGTTAATAAAATCATCTTTTTTAAGACTATGATCTGATTCTTGTGTCTTGGAAGGTAATAGGAGGTCTATGTATGCACACCTAAGACTGAGAATACAGGGTTTGGGTTTTAATAGGAGGTCTATGTATGCACACCTAAGACTGAGAATACAGGGTTTGGGGTTTTTTTTCACTCTCTCTTGTGGTAAAAGAGCTTGAGGTACCCTTTGGAAGAAGTTCCCAAATGAATCTTCCGGGGTTCCAAAAGTTTTTTTTTCACTTGGGTGGTGGCAATGTACTACCCAAAGTCAGGGACTCTGAGACCTTGGGGAGTTTTTAAGCAGAAGCATACAGTGGGAAAGTATTTTTAAAGTCTTTTGTGGGCCTCCACATTCTGCACTCCAAGTGCCAGAGTGAGGAACAGCCTAGACAAATGCAAAGCAGTGAATGTAATAGAGGTAAGCTGGCCCACTGGGCTACATCAGTTAAAGTAGCAAACTCTGAATAACTGACTTTTTACAGGGGCAACAGACCTTTAATATGTGAAGTGTCCATGAGAAGGGTAGATTATGCAGAATGCTTGTTTTGGGGGGGAAATGACTGGAAGTGTGTAGCGATCACCCTGCAAGTTGTAACCAAGACTGGTGAAGGTCTGAGTATAACTGGAGTGTGTCGCTGCTGTGATCAGAGATGCTGGGCTAGAGCAGCAGCTATTCACAGACACGCAGGTTGTGACCCACATGCTGCTAGGATGACAACTCCCACAGCAAAGCATCGTGAGGTACCCCAAGTTGCTGGCCAGGATGTTACAACCCCTCACTGGTCTGGCACCCCAGAATATGACAATAGTCCAGGGCTCACAATGATACAAACCCTCACTTCAGATTTCTGTGGGCTGTCCCTAGTGAAGGACAGGACGTTTTCTGTAACAATGATACAAACCCTCACTTCAGATTTCTGTGAACTGTCCCTAGTGAAGGACAGTACGTTTTCTGTTCTCATACACAGAATGGAGTTTTTATTTACTATTTATTACTGCACTTTCACAAATTCGATGTTGTAATAAAGAACACTCAATGTTATTCCAGTTCCTGTTATTCTGTGGGGATTTATTTTCCTGTACAGTCAAGACAGCACATCTCTCTCTGTCAAGGTAATTGGGTTCCCCAGATATCCAGAAGCTGTAAAAGAGAAAAGTTCATGCATCGGAGACACATTGTTATGAGTGTCACAGGGGAAAGGGTTGTAGCTGGTGAAGATGGAGGAGTAGGGAAAAGCACAACCTTTGAATCATTCAGAGATTCCCCTCTCTCCTTATATTCCATTCCCTAAAATGGATTTATAGTCTAAATCTTCCCTTTGTGGGATCAAATATATTTAGGTACAGTAGTCTTTCCAACGCACACACACGTCTCTAGTTCTTGGACTAGGAGGACCATGCTAAATGGTCTATACATTGAAAGATACTCACTGTGGTATTTTGTACAGAGTTTTATCCACCCAGTGCCACTGGCCTTCCCTTTCCTGGCTAGTCAGACCAATATAGTAATCCTTTTTGTCACTGCCTGTAGCAGTTCTTCTTATCCAATCAGAAATGAAATCCTAGATTTAAAATAAAATAAAAAATCAGATACCATCACTGAGCAGTTGGTAGGGATCAGGAGACCTTGTGCAATTTGAGTCTGATGGTGGAGTTGATGGCTGAAGAAGCCCAGGGCTGAATTGACATGGAGATTGAATTCTCCACTCAAATTCAAGCGTAAGGTGTGTGTGTGTGTGTGTGTGTGTGTGTGTGTATATCCATCCCCTCCAGGCCTAGGCATTGAATTTCCACTGGAGACTTCCCCCCCAGTAAGTTACCTGCTCAGCTTCCGTGTTGATCACCACCAGGTGAGAGCCCATCCCAGTGCAGTTCCTCTCACTGTCACCCCAGGTCATGCTGTCATTAAAGAAATGGTAGCAGCTGTCCTGAAAGGAATCCCAGCCCACTGGGCAACACATATAGATTCGCCCTGTATGGGAGGAGTAGGCCAAGGAGAACAAACAAACAAACAAACAAACAAAAGATGGGAAATCCTTACTGGGCTGCATCTTTGCCATTTTCTGTGGAAAATTGTTCCCTCCAGTTTATTCCACGCGGCTTTAACCTATCCCATCTCTAAAACTAGATGATGTTTCATGACAATCAATAACTCCAGAGTAGAGTAGCATGTGATATGTGACACAACAGGGACAGAGGGCATGGTTCCCTTTAGATTACGGGACCCTTCTACAGGCTAAGTAAGCCACTTTAATCAATTACGGCTCTGTCAGGAATCTATAAACTCTCTCTGCTTTGACAAGACTGGGTGGAGTAAGGAAAGAGAGAGGCCTTGATTTTGGAGCCTTGTTGCTGAAAGAGAAGAGACGCCCTCCCTGAGCATCAAGAACCCAGAGTAACCTTACCTCAGGGGAGGAGGGAGTAAAAAATGCACAGGAGCTGAGAAGGGCTTCGGCTTGGACCCACATCCCCTCTCCAACCTGCCCTTTTTTCTTTGTGTCCTACTAGGGCATGAGCAGAGTTCACAATGCCCAAGAACAGGGGCAAGTGGCAGCTCTCTGGCCCAACTCACCAAGGTGAAGAATGGGACCCACCATAGTTAGCTGACATGTACTAACCACACACCATTTAGGCAAAGCTAAAATGACTTAGGGTATGTCTATCCTTTGGGCACTACAGCTAAGATGCTGCAGCTGAGCTGTTGTAGCACTGTAGTATAGATATTTATGTTGATGGACGGGGTTTCTGCATTGCTCTCCTAGTGTTAGTGGTGAGGTCAACAGACCAAGTCTGCCCTGTAAAAGGCTGGGGACCAACTGGCTAAGCAGCAGTTTTGTAGAAAAGTACCTGGGGGTTACAGTGGATTAGAAGCTGGATATGAGCCATGAAGGCTAAAGGCATATTAGGGTGCATTAGTAGGAGCATTGCCCGCAGATTATTGCCCTTTATTCGGCATTGGTGAGGCCACATCTGGAGTATTGTATCCAATTCTGGGCCCCCCAGACTTGTTTAGTCTGCAGAAGAGAAGAGTGAGGGGGGATTTGATAGCAGCCTTCAACAACCTGAAGGAAGGTTCCAAAGAGGATGAAGAGAGACTGTTCAGTGGTGACAGTTGATAGAACAAGGAGCAATGGTCTTGAGTTACAGTATGGGAGGTCTAGATTGAATATTAGGAAAAACTATTTCCCTAGGAGAGTGGTGAAGCACTGGAATGGGTTACCTAGGGAGAGGGTGGAATCTCCATCTCTAGAGATTTTTAAGACCTGGCCTGACAAAGCCCTGGGTGGGATGATTTAGTTGGGGTTGGTCCTGGGGGCTGGAGCAGGGCGGTTGGACTAGATGTCCTCCTGAGGTCTCTTCCAGTCCTAATCTTCTATGATTCTTCTGTCAGTGTAGCCACAATTACACAGGGGTTTACGTTGGCTTAACTATGGCACTAAGGTGTAGGAACATTTCATATGCTTGAGCATTGTAGCTAGGCTGATCAAAATATTAAGTATTGATCAGATCTCAGTTAATGACCCTTTCCTTTGGCAGACTTGTTCATAGTCTAATAGGCCCTCAGTGTGAGGGAATATTTCCTCATATCTACCTGAAATATCTTTTTTTCCTCCCCTTTATCTTTCTCACCTATGACTATTCTCAATTAACCCCTCCTCCTTCTTGTTCATATTCTGCCAGAACTTGTAGAATATTGCATTTTTTCCCTTTGCCCTCACTTAGTCACTGTACAGACTTCATTTATTTCCAGACTTTTTTCCCCTCATAAGTCATTTTCTCCAGCCCTCTGACAGTGTTTGCTGTTGGTCCACACCTGGGTGCAAATTAGGTCCCTTCATCTGTAATGCTGTTGTGGAGATTAATTCCTCTCTCTCTTTTGATGATACTGACCTTTCCCTTCAGCTGTCCCTGTGACACAGTGCCACTCTGTGGAACTCTGGGACAGGGTCCTGTGCTTTTCACAGCTTGGATTAAGGAGAGTAACTGGAAAAAAGAGAGAGAACAGGTACATTATTTTCCTCCTTCCTTGTTCCTCCCATTGCATCCGACTCCAGGTGCAACATGATTTTTTTTTCTCCATCTCCTGGCCAAGAAGAGTTGGAATATGTACACTCCTTTTTGGGCTTCCCTTATTTTCATAAATGCCAACAACTGTCCCCTTCAGGAAAAGAATAGGGCAGCTCAGCTACCTTCATCTCTATCTCTCTGCTGGCTGTGGGGACCATTTTGACAGACTGATCAAAGCAAGCCATGATCTCTCAGTCAATGAGGCAAGAGAAGTTTCTGACCCTACCGGGGTCGGTGTGGTGATTGTGGCCAGGCAACAACTCATTAAAACTGTCATCCTTTGCCCAGCAGTAGCCAACACTGGTGCCTCATAAGTCCGTTCCCTGCTGGAGAACCACCAGGAGTAAAAGATTGTTAATTTCTTAAAATGACTAACAAAAGGTATTTCACTCAACACAAGGAAACTATATAGATAAAAATTAATAGATCACTGATCTGAATGTTGGTGGTTACCTAAGAACCAGTGATCCTGACTCAATGACATTCATTAGGGGCAAACAGAGGTTAGTCCCAACTAGTTAGATATATAGTTGGTGTTAGAAGAGTGCTAATTTCCCAAAAACAAGGAAAATTATAAGTAAATTTGATTTGGAGGAAAACATCGACAGAAAAGTGTGAATGAAAATTGGGAATTGCTTAAGAAGAGTTTATTAATTATATTATATTATATTGCTATCAATTAATCACAGTTAATAAGTTGTGTTTTTCTTCATTTCAGTCATTGCTCTGGGGTGGGGCTGAGGGTGAGGGGTTCAGTAGGCAGGCAGTCCCAGGGAGAGAGGACAACCCCAGCCCTCTGTCACTGCAGCAGCTTGGAGTCAGGTGAGAAATGCTTATCCATGGCTGCTGCAGCTGCAGTGGGGACAGCTCGGGGAGGGGTGCATGTCCCCTGGCAGGAAGACAAACAGACATACCGACAAACTCTCTGAAATATATAATACGTCCCTTTCTCCACTCCTGACCCTGGTGTCCCAGTCCCCTTGCTGCCCCCGTGAGGTCATTAAACAGCACAGCTGACCATCCTGCCAGACCTCTCCCTTTCCATTTTATGAGAAACAATCAAATTCCAGGCACGTCCCATTGTCCTGGAGCAACCAAACCCTGATCTTGCTCTTTTAGTTATGATAACAGGAAGCTGCCTACCAAATTTGGGGTCCTAGCTCTTACCATTCAGTAGAAGTTCTTGAACAAATGGACTCACAAATGGACAGACAGACAAGACAGCCACACATTTCTAAAATATATATATAGTAAGATATTTTTGGATGTTTTTCTACATTTTTAAATATATTGATTACAATTCCACCAATTGGGTGGAAAAGGAAAATTGATATGGGAGTCAATTTTTAAAAACTTAAAAAATAAGAATGTAATATATTATAATCAATATGGTTTCATGGAAAATCTTGTCCAACAAACATGATTTCATTTTTGATTTTTAGTTTGGTGGAGGGGTTAAATGAGAGTGGGAAGAAGTGGGAAGGATAAAGAGGAGGAAAAGAAAAAACATTTCAGGTTTCAGATGAGGAAGCATTTCTTTACACTGAGAAATTATTAGAATATGGATGAGTGTCCCAAAAGAAAGAGGTGGAATCTGCATTAGTTGAGTAATGTTGGCTTTGTCCAGTAAAGGATTTAAGAGTATGTTATTAGAACATGTCAATTATTGTCTTAGTCTATATTGTCTTGTAAGTGTTCAGTTTGTTGGACATGCTAGTTAACACCTTCTAACAGGGTATCCTCTGGACAAAGCCTAAGAGCTGAGAGAGGTCAAATCCCTGTGGAATAAACTGATTGGAACAATTCAGTGTTGTTTACAGACAATGCCAATGTAGCCTAGCAGGGAAATTCCATCTCTAATTATTGTGATTCCTTCTGCTTGGCTTTCCTTTCCCGTCACAGTCAAATCTGCACAGGCTGCCCCTTTGGCTGGGAGCACTTACTGTGCAGCTACTGCTGCTACCAATGAGCAAGGTTATTAAGCAGAGATGTCTTCAATGAGGACAAGTGTCCTGAAAATACCTAAAGAAATTCTATACATAAATTAAAAAGCTGTAGGAAGCTAAAAATTACCCCTGGAACTGGTGATATAGATGTAAAAGGTTCCTTATCCCACCCCCCTCCCACCACCCAACTCCTTTCTCTGCCAAAACTTCCCTCATACCCCTCAAACACACTCCCTGTGAGACCATCTTGCCCACTGCCTTCACCATCCGCTCTCCATCCCGCTTTGCTAGCCAAGGAAGGGGGCTCTCTGCTAGGCATTCTCCAGGGCTTTCTCCGGACCCAAATGTTTGGGTTCTCACCTCTTCCTCTCTTTGTTAGGAATTGTTTCCTAATTCGCTAGCAGTGATTTTCCTGCTTTGTTCAATTTTATCCACTTTACTCCCAGTTCTCCTCCCTCCAACTCCTCCCCAAACAATCTCCTTCCCCCAACCTTGGATAACCAGCCTGTACATACTTACCAATGAGGGCAGCAAGGAGAGAGAGACACAGCAACAGCAACAGAGCTGAGACCAACCACAGGAGAGAGTGGGTGTGCTTCTGGGGTGCACTCGGAGGTGTGCTTTTCGCTGGGGGTGCTAAGGGTAAGAAATACCCAAATATCCCAAAAGTTAATTCTGCTTAAACCAGCCTCGTCTACTAGGGACATGCAACTGAATGAAAAGCTTCTGAAAGAGACCCAACCCTTATTCAGGAGTTACAATGTTTTGAGAGACAGGAGCAGACTAGTCCCTGCTGATGAGCTCTGAGCTGACTCTGACCTTTCTCAGCGCTGCCCCATCCAGTGAGCAAATGTTCAGACTGCAAGTTTTGGAGTGAGGCCCCAACACAGGATTATGTGGTTGAGGGAGCTCTTCATATCTCTCCCGAGTATGCCCAGAGTGGCCAAAGTTCACATGGTGCTCTGAGGTCTGCTGGTGATAAGAAGCACCATATAAAAACTAAGCATTAGTATGATCTCCTATAATGCAGGTGAAGCTTTCTGTAGGGCAGGGGTCTCCAATCTTTTTAAGCACAAGATCACTTCTTGAATTTAAGTCAGTCCAGGATCTACCTCAGACCCAAATTCCCCTGCCCTATCCCTTCTCCAAGGCCTGGCCTCTGCTCCACACCTTCGCCGAGGCCCCGCCTTCTCCACTCTGTGAAGATGGGGCACAGGAGAGGGGGACAGAATGATACCAGCACCCTCCTGCCTCTGTCTCCTCCATCCTGCACAACAAGTAGGAGGCTCCTGGGGCAGCTCTGAGGGTCTGGGCAGGAGCAGCAGGGCAGTGGGGGGAGGGGCAACTGAAGCGCTGGCACTTGACAGCCTCCCAGCCAAAGCTGTCAGGATCCCCTGTCAGAGGCTCCAAGATCTACTGATAGATCCTGATCTACTGGTTGGTGACCACTGGGCCTTTCCTATTTCAAAATCAGGGGTGGGCAAACTATGGCCCATGGGTTGCATCTGGCCCATCAGCCATTTTAATCTGGTCCTCGAGCGCCTGCTGGGAAGTGGGGTCTGGGGCAGAAGCAGCAGCAGCAGCATGTCCCCCTCCAGCTCTTACATACAGGGGCAGCCAGAAGGCATCACACTGTTCCTTACCCCAGGCACTACCCCCTCAGCTCCTATTGGCTGGGAACCATGGACAATGGGAGCTGCAGGGGACATACCTGTGGATGGTGGGGCAGCACATAGAGCCACCTGACCATGTCTCTGTGACCCAGGTAGGAGCCGGTTGGAATGGGGACATGCTGCTGCTGGGAGCTGCTTGAGGAGATAAGCTTAGCCCAGAGCCGGAACCCCCGAGCTCCCTTATTGTACCTCAACCTGCTGTCCCAATCCGGATCCCCCTTCCTGCAGCCCAAACTCCTCATCCCTGGCCCACCAAGAGCCTACACTCCCTCCCCAACCTGAGCCCTCAAGCATCCTTGCATTTCTACCCCCTGTCCCAGCCCAGAGTGCCCTCCCACACCCTGAACTCCTCATTTCTGTTCCCATTCTAGAGCCTGCATCCACAGCTGGAGCTCTCATCCCCTCCTGCACCCCAACCCCAATTTTGTCAGTATTCATGCAATTCAGTTTCCATACTCAGATATGGCCCCTCAGGAGGAAATAGGATCTGGAACAGGGGAGAGCAAACATTTTGGCCTGTTTTGATGCAGTAGTAAAGGTGGGGTGGGTGGTGGACAAGCAAGTGATATATGATGAGCGGGCAGGAGTGTGGGCAAGAAGTAGAATGGAGACACATGAAGGGCAAATGGTAAGAAGACACCACCTAGCATAGTCAGCCATCCCTTCCACTATTGCTGATTCCAGAGGCTTGTGGTGATGCTAAGCAGCCCTGACTAGGTCAGTCCCTCATCAGGGATAATCACAGGGGTATATTGCTGTGTCCAGCTGCCTCACTAAAGAGTCCTTTTTAGATACAATACACCCGAGTCCCCTCTCTTCCCTACAGCGAGGGACACGACAGGTATGAGGGAGGTGACAGAGGGAGGTTGTGGATCACATACAGAGGGAAGGAGGGGGAAACACTTGCTGAGGGACTGGCAGCTCCAGGTCCCAAAAAGAAGCGCTGGAAGAACACAGACTTGTGCATGGAGACTGAGGGATGGGACCAGAAGTGGCAGCACTACTTGCAGGGAGAGGCAAAAGGGTTGGACTGCCAACACCAGGTGAAAAATCCCTCCAGCAGCTGCCATTATTACAGTGGTTTAGGACTGCAGAGATGCAGGGTTTTGTTTTTTTTTCATTCTTCAGTCTGAAATCTTGAGTCACATCCTGTAGCAGCAGAAAGCAGGGAAGTGTACAGGCCGAAGCAAGGCCTGACTGTGCACGCTGCTCGGAAAGGGTACTCCTTTTCCCTTAAATATACAGCGGTTCTGCAGCTAGGGGCTGGTCAAACAAACATTTCTGACAGAGAATTTGGAGTTTTGATAGAACAAAAATTCTCTCCTGGCACTGCTCTAATTTTCTGAGGGAAAAAAATACCATCAGCTCGATTAGCTGCAGCACAGTGCCAAGTACAATAGAACCTCCATGTTACAAACACCGGAATTGAAAACTGACCCATCAACCACACACCGTGTTTGGAACTGGAAGTATGCAATTAGGCAGCAGCAGAGACAAAAACCAACCTTACCCCCACTTAGACAGCACAGTACTGTTTTAAATATAAACTACTAATGAAAAGGGGAAAGCAGCCTTTTTCTTTTGCATAGTAAAGTTTCAAATCTGTGTTAATTCAGTGGTCAGTTGTAAATGTTTGAAAAAACAGCCATACCATTTTGCACAGCGTTACAAACATTTCAGAGTTATGAATAACTTCCATTCCCAGTGGTGTTCATAAGCCTAGGTTCTCCACTGGAGCCTCTCATGTGTTGCGGTGTCTGGGCATGAACTTTGTAAAGGAGACCAGGAGGCCTCCTTCTCCCTATCTGCTGTTCCTTCCAGTTCACTCCAATGGGAAAATGGCAGATTGTTTAGGCATGGATCTATTTTTTTGTCTAGCATTGTGACAGTCTCTGAGGCTACATCTAGACTGCAGGCTTCTTTTGGAAGAAACTTTTCCGGAAGAGATCTTCCAGAAAAACTTTCAAAAGAGAGCGTCCACACAGCAAAAGCACACTGAAAAAGCGATCTGCTTTTTCGAAAGATAGCATCCAAATTCATTGGACGCTATCTCACATTTAAGTTCTGATTGCTGTGGATGGAGTGGCCACCAGGGCACCTGTGATTTTTCCTGGAGGCTTCATCTTTTGGGGAAAAAAACCCTCTTCCCTGTCCACACATGCCTTTTTCCGAAAGTGTTCTTTCGGAAAAAAGCTTCTTCCTCGTAGAAAGAGGTTTACTGCGGTCAGAAAAAACTCTGTGTTCTTTCGACTTTCTGTTGAAAGAATGCAATTGCAGTGTGGATGTCAGTGTAGTTTTTCCGGAAAAACTCTGCAGTGTAGACATACCCTGAGTGACTGGCTTGGCAGTGGTCAAAGGCGAAGTGAAACTCCTCAATCAGATGCAATGAAATCTTTACTGAGCTGCTGACATTGTAACGTGCCGTTCCTGAGAGCTCCCTCCAGCATATCAACATAGTTAGGAGTTTCCAAGCTTCTTGAGGAAGTTGGAGATTATTTTTGACTGCACCATGGATACCAGGGCAGGCAGCTTGAGCTCAGCCCATCCTTCTTTGCCTGTCCATTGTAGCAATTGCCCTCCCAGTGTTGCTGTGGGTTAGTTAATGCTTCCTTATTCCCATGTTCATGTTGGTCTGCCAGTTGTATGTCTCTGGCTAGCCCACTCATGAAAGACATGCTCTCTGCTGCTCAACACATACTGAATGGACACTCTGCGGGAAACCCAGGTTAGAAAATGGGAACCTTATGGTCAGTGATGTTGTTTCTGAGCATGGGATCAACATGGACAAAGCTATTATCCACAAGCAATTGAACATCAGCCAGTACTTTGTTCACACTCTTCTCCTGCAAAATTTATGTTCCCTGCCAGATTTCTTTGCTTCCCCACAGAGCAATGACTTTCTGATGAGGAAGCGAAGGGAAACTACAAACGTGGCTATGCGACCCTCCCCAGCAGTGTGGGCGTGCCATTTCAGATGCCCAGAGAACTAAATCCCTGATGGGGGGACAGTTGGGGGACACTCTGGCCAGAGGCTCCTACCCCAGCTGGGCTGGGGAGAACAGGACTTCCTCTTCTCAGTAAGGAGTGGCCAGGTCTGGGGCTGGGGCCAGGTCAGACCCACCTCCAGAGACCTCCCCCCGCTTCATGAAGCTGCACCCCTCACGTTTTCTTCCCCCATTGCTCCTCAGACACTGGGAGAGGTGTCACTGTACAGGGAGCGGCTCCCCAATCCATCCAACCCTCAAGCCTTCAGACCCCCACCATACCCCAGTCCTGCCAGAAGCCCTCCAAGCCCTCCCGCATCTGATCCCATCCCCGCTGAGCTCACACCCTTCATCTGGACCCTTGGGTACTCAGACACCCCACTCAGCCCCATCTTCTTGCCAAGCCTCACACCACTCCACCTGCATCTGGACGCCTACTCCTGTACTGCACCGAGCTCCTCCACTTGAACTCCCATCCCAGTGAGAGCCTGCATCCAGACCCCCTCCCACCAAGTCCCACTCCCTTAGCATCCACTGAGCCCCCCACACTCCAATCCCCCTGATGAGCCCCAGAAATGTTCACCTGGATCTCCCTGCAGAGTCCCATTTCCCCGCACCCTGAACCTCCCAACAAGCCCCTGTGCATCCAGTTCCTTCCCGACACCCAGACACTTCACTCAGCCCACACCCAAATCGCACCACACAGAACCTCTCAACCCACACCTGAATCCCCCTACACTAAGCCCCTCCACACTCGGACCCTGCTTGCCCACAGCTAGTGTGCCTGGGGTGGTGGGTTAGGACTCTGGGGGGTTTCTGGCATAGGCCCGGTCCTCTGTGTGATGTCAGAGTTGGGTGCAGCCTCACTGCCAAGCTGGGAGGGATTTGAACAATGACGCTGATCTCCCACATCTGTGCAGCCAGTGGCCTGTGCTCCCCGCTGCCAGCTGGGATCTCTGCATTTATTTATTGATAAATCACATTTGCAGAAAAAATTTAAAATACTGTGGGCAGAATATTCTTTGGCAGAGTCTTCCCTCACGGTTCACACCCCTGTTCTTCTAGTCACTCACCCTGGACAGCTAGAGAGGCTCTGGGACCAGGAAAGACAATGTTGTCACAGCATGAAGCATCTGCAGCTATTTCTACTGTTCTCTAAAAGCAATGCACCAGCGACAGCCAACCCAGTGTCAGAAGCCCCACATTGCTTGCCACCATGTATGAACATGCACTGGAGCCTCACAAGGCTCACCTGGCACCAGACGGCAGATGTGATCCCTCTGTTCTCGCTGAGCCTGTCTCCTCAGCACTCCTTTTGTTTCTCTCTCTCATTCTCAGCCATGTGCCTTTTCCAAATTTCACATTTCTGCTCTGTCCTTTTAAGGGTCCCCTTTCCTTCTTAAAAACCTCTTTCCTCCAGGAATGAGACCTACCGACTCCCCTTGCGTGGCCGCTGCGCGTGTTCCTTCAGTTGCTGCTCTTGGCCTGTCCTAGACCAAGTATTTCTCAATCTTTTTTTTTATAAAGTACCCCCTTTAAAAAAAGAAAAAAAGTACCCCCAGTACCTGGAGTTTTCAGATACACGATTTTTTTTTCTACCATTGCAACACATTTGTTTAAACAACTTAATCGTAGCTGGGCGGGCGATGAAATTTTTGGGTGTAAAAAGTACAAAAATAATAAAGCGCTATTAAACTTACAACAATAATTCAGTTTTCTCCAAATTGAAGTTGTGTTGACGTACCCCCCCAGACTTCTCTGAGTACCCCTAAAGGTACTCATACCAGTGGTTGAGAAACACCGTCCTAGACTGTTCAGATTGGGAACTTGCCGTTAGGCTGTAGGGTCTTTAGGTCAGGGGACATGTTTGTAAAGTGTCTTGTAAATGTATAGCACTGCACACAAGATTGCTAATCAGAATAACCCCAGAAAAAGCCTTTTTCCCACTGCATGGGGAATGCAGACAGATCCTTTGCATCAATGTTTTCTCAGAGCCAAATGGAAACCAATATCCCAGAAGGGAAAGGCTCCGTAGCCCTTCCCTCATCCGTCTGAGTCACCCCGTGTCCCTAATCTGGAGCTGAAGAGGAACCAATGGCACAAAAGTGCAAAGCTCCATAGCACAGTCCTCACAAATCCTTTAACCACCTTTTCCCTAAATAGCTTGTTGTTTACCTGTGGCTGCTGCAGGTGGTGGTGCATTCTTGAACTTCACCTCAGTGTAGATGATCTCTGACTCCATTCACAGACCGTGGCTGCCACCCGTTCTTTATATATTTGTGGCCATCACATTGAAAGCTGAACTTTTAATTGCCTAGAGCCCAGAAGAAGACACTGGCTAGCCACGAGTCCTTCCCTTCAGTCGTGTCTGCCACCCCTTCTCTCACCTGCAAGAGGAGAAGAAACTGGGAGTGGAAAGCCCTTAAGCTGAGCTGAGAAGCATTTGGAGACAGAGTTACACCCCTTGATATAACTTCTGTGTTTCTTCACCCGGAAAACCAGTCTGAGGTTTTCTCCTCATGGGTTTATTTAAAAAAAACAGGAACTTCATAGCGGAGTCAAGTTGCATCCTACACCCCAATTAAAATACATATTCGTCTCCCTCTCTAGTTTTCTTTGTGCACCTGACCCTTTTTTTTCTTTCTCTGTCTCTCCTTCACTTTTTCTCAAGAGAGTGGTTCCTTGGTTATTTCTCTATCTGCCTGGTGTGACTCCACAGCCTCATCTACATTATGCTTTGCTGACAATGCTCGACAACAGAGAGTGCAACTTACCCAGTGATGAGTGTAACTTAACCTCACGTGCAGCCAAGGACAAGCTATGTCAACACAGGGGTTATGTCTACATTACAGAGTTTTTGCAGGAAAATGGCTGTTTTTGCAACCACAACTCAAGTGCGTTTTTTGCACAAAAAAATGGAAAGAGTTGAGGAATAACTCCTTTTTGCGCAAGAGCTCTTGCACAAAAAGGCGCGTGTGGATGCGGAACAGGGTTTTTTGTGCAAAAAGAGGCAATCAAAAACACAGGTGCCCCGGTGGCCATTCTGTAAATAGCAATCAGAGTTTCCTTTCAAGAGAGTGTCCATGCAGTCTAGACATTCCCTTGAGCAAAAGCGCATTGCTTTTTCAATGCGATTTTGCAGTGTGGATGCTCTCTTGTGCAAGTAGTTTTTGCAGAAGATCTCTTTCACAAAAAGTTTCTTACACAAGAAGCCTGTCGGGTAGACATATTCTAACTGAGAAACTATGGTTAAACCCTGGCTGCCAGACAAGGGGTATGTGTGAACTAACAGATCTTGTCCATTTCCAGGCACTTCAGACTAAATCAGTGATGGGCACTCTAAGTTAGTTAGTGGATCACATGATTAGAGAGTTAGAGAGTGGATCATCTCAGTGGGCTGCAAGCTTGTCCTAACCAAGATGGTCTTCCGGGAAAGGCTAGTTTTGCTAACTGTACTTGCCCACCTAGAATTTGCTGGATGTGCTGACTGAACCGTAGCAGTGCTTTGACTGGACGCAGAGGGAACATATGGCTCTCACAGTCAATGCTATGTGCAATCAGCATGCACCTCACTGCACATGCCCTGCTTTACGTATGTGTCATATAAGCAGGATCTGAACCACTGCTTTCAATACAGCCAGCTGAAGGGGGAGAGCTTCAAACTGGCACCAGAAAATGAACTGCTTAATTATTCCCCAAATAAAAATCTTTCATTTTGATTTTCCTGATGTTAAGTTCTCCCCAAAGAGACCTTCATTACTGTCTCAGAGAGAACATCACCACTTCCACTTCCAGCACTCCTCCCTCCAGCTCTCGCTGTGTCACTGCCTGTTTATTCATCCAAATGCAGCCAAGCCAGACCAGTAGGTTTGTGTGGACTTTGCATTTAATCAGCCCTGTGAAAGGTGAGAACCAATTCATTTCACATAGGAGTTTAAATCAGAATCCAGGTCTGGGAAAGAAAGGGAATCCCATGTATTGAGGCGCCATTTCTGCTGACTTTCACTCTCATGGACCTTTCCCTGCCTGATCCTCTGAGACAAGTTCTTTGCTTCAGATACCAGTGCGGCCAAGACAGTTCCTCTTGCTCTTCGTGCTATGTGCTAGTGTCCCACACTAAGTAACTACAGACACAAAGAGGATGAAAACCAGAATTACAGCATTAGCCAGTGGGCGTGGACACTGGCTCTGATGGGTGAGAACAGACTCTTGGTCAGTCTCGTGCCTAGTGCTTCACAGGAAACCCCTTTCTCACATATTGTGCCTCAGGCTATGTCTAGACTGCAGGCTTCTTTCGGAAGAAGCTTTTCCAGAAGAGATCTTCCAAAAAAAACTTTTCTGAAAGAGCGTCCATACTAAGAAAGTGCATGAAAAAAGCAATCGACTTTTTCAACAGATAGCATCCACACTGAATGGACGCTCTCTCACATGTAAGCTGTGATTGCTATAGACGGAGTGGCCACCAGGGCACTTGTGCTTTTTTCTCTTCCCTCTTCTTTCAAAAGAACTCCCTCTTCCCCGTCCACACACACCTTTTTCCGAAAGAGCTCTTTCACAAAACGGCTTCTTCCTCATAGAAAGAGGATTACCAATGCTGGAAAAACCCCTCTGTTCTTTTGATTTACTTTCAAAAGAATGTGATTGCAGTGTGGAGGTTACTCAGGTTTTGTCAGAAAAACGGCTGTTTTTGTGACAAAACTCTGTAGTGTAGACATACCCTCATTGCGCAGCATGATCCCAGACTGGAGGAAAGGGGGACGCTACTTGACCTCTGCAGATGATGCCTGGAAGCAGGCTGGCTAGTACCTCTATCCATGCTAGCAGCACCAATGATACTGCCCCCATAAATGTAATTAGTCTTATTTTATATCCAGTTTTTGTATCTCAATAAGGGTATGTCTACACTACCACCCTAGTTCGAACTAGGGTGGTTAATGTAGTCAATCGGAGTTGCAAATGAAGCCTGGGATTTGAATTTCCCGGGCTTCATTTGCATGTTGCCGGGCGCCGCCATTTTTAAATGTCCGCTAGTTCGGACTCTGTGCCCACGGCTACATGCGGCATGAACTAGGTAGTTCGGATTAGGCTTCCTATTCCGAACTACCGTTACTCCTCGTGGAACGAGGTGTACAGATAGTTCGGAATAGGAAGCCTAATCCGAACTACCTAGTTCGTGCCACGTGTAGCCACGGGCATGGAGTCCAAACTAGCGGACATTTAAAAATTGCGGCGCCCAGCAACATGCAAATGAAGCCCAGGAAATTCAAATCCCGGGCTTCATTTGCAACTCCGGTTGCCTACATTAACCACCCTAGTTCAAACTAGGGTGGTAGTGTAGACATACCCTCAGAGAACAATCATGGGACCTTCAAATGTTTTCCCCTCCCCACAAACAGTAAAAATGTACCCTATCCCTAGTTGATTGCAACAGATGTACAGTACATCAATCAACTCACTCCCTCTCACATTCCAACTAGCTCAAAATTGGAGAAAATTTAGCATCCACTTTTTTCCCAGGTCCCTACATGCTTTACAGAAATACTTCTGCTTATCACTCCCTTTTAAATACTTACATAATAAAGGATGGCAAAGGTCTAAGTTGCACTACTATTTTTGTCTATAGTTTCAAAAGATAATATTGAGGATTTTATTTGTAGAATTAATTTTGGTGAAGATTTTCCTGTGCTTACTGCTATTTCTTCTTTTATTCTGTAAGTTCATTTTCCCTTGTGTGACAGTAATTGGTGCACCGGTATTGTTAGCCAAAGTTCAGGTTTTGATGTCAGCAGGGGAGCGTCCAGACTAGAGCGCTGAGCGGACAAACAGCTGATCAGCTGTTTGTCGGCTCAGCGCGGCAGCCATGTAAATGTAAATGAAGCCGCGATCATTTAAATCGCAGCTTCATTTGACTTTGCCTATCTATCTAATCTACATGCCTCTGACGACAGAGGCATGTAGTCTAGACACAGCCTGAGAGTTACAGGAGTCGGAGTAAGCAGTCCTCCAGCTTGAGAGTATTTTGACATTATGTCAAAATAACTGCTTGCTGTGTAGAGTTGGACTATGTTATTTCGGAATAACGGATATCATTCCGAAATAATGCTGCTGTGTAGACATAGCCTAAGTGACCCTCCTAAGCAGTGAATTATCAGCTGTCAACCTCCCACATGAACTTGCATTTCCCTTTACTGCTTCTGAATGTACTCATTTCTCTAGGAACATCTTTACGTTTGTAAGTTAGGGCTGAGAGAAAAATCAGGACAGATCCTTTCATAACACAGCTCATGCGGACGGCAAGGGGGAAATTCCCCCAGAGAGTCATGCATGATCATAGAATCATAGAATCATAGAATCATAGGACTGGAAGGGACCTCGAGAGGTCATCGAGTCCAGCCCCCCGCCCTCAAGGCAGGATCAAGCTCCGTCTACACCATCCCTGACAGATGTCTATCTAACCTGTTCTTAAATATCTCCAGAGAGGGAGATTCCACCACCTCCCTTGGCAATTTATTCCAATATTTGACCACCCTGACAGTTAGGAATTTTTTCCTAATGTCCAATCTAAACCTCCCCTGCTGCACTTTAAGCCCATTACTCCTTGTCCTGTCCTCAGAAACCAAGAGGAACAAATTTTCTCCTTCCTCCTTGTGACACCCTTTTAGATATTTGAAAGCCGCTATCATGTCCCCCCTTAATCTTCTTTTTTCCAAACTAAACAAGCCCAGTTCATGAAGCCTGGCTTCATAGGTCATGTTCTCTAAACCTTTAATCATTCTTGTCGCTCTTCTCTGTACCCTTTCCAATTTCTCCACATCTTTCTTGAAATGTGGCGCCCAGAACTGGACACAGTACTCCAGCTGATCCCAGCTTCTTGCATCTTATTTGTTTTACTTTCCAATCCAGCTGAATAAGCTGCAGGCAAAACCCACTGAGGATGCTGGAGACATAACAGGCATTAAGGAACAGGAGGGAGATGCCCTCAGTGATCAAGGGGCTCAGCCAGGGTCTCTCAACTAAGGTTGTTGAGCAGACTCATTATTCTCCCTGTAAACGGTCTCAGTGCCACTATATGGGACAGCGTAGCGCACCCAGCAGATGTGTGAGTTACAAGCTGTGTGGACTTCAACTTGCGGTGTATTTGGAGACACAACCAAGGAGAATATAAATTTCAGCACCAGCAGTTAAGAAACCCTGCTGAGTGGGCTCAGGGGGAAGAAGAAGGTTTGCTGTCTCTTGCATCACTTCTTCTCACATGGGAAAAACACTGAGAGAGGAACAAGAAATGAAAGTAAAATGAGCCAATAAATAAAGCTCCCAAAGTTAGGGAGAAAATGGAGAAGATTGAGGGGGGACATGATAACCGTTTTCAGGTAACTAAAAAGGTGTCATAAGGAGGAGGGAGA